TAACTGTCTAGCTACTGACAGGTCCAGTCCCAAACCGTGCAGGCTTGGAGATCTCAGCCCCGGGTCCCACACACCTGGGTTCCTCTGCCAGTTCTGTTATGTCTGAGGCTTATCCAAGTGTGTGGAGAGTGGCCCCAGTAAGGCCTTGGTTGGGGCCTGCAGGTCTTCAGCTGTTGGGCCCTGGCGAGGATAGTCAGACACAGGGTAGGAGACTCTGCCTTGTGCTCTCCCGGGAGCTTGTTGTGATAATCTCTGGATCCTGGCCTTTGTTGGGGTTACACGGCAGTTGGAGGGTGTAACTGTCTAGCTACTGACAGGTCCAGTCCCAAACCGTGCAGGCTTGGAGATCTCAGCCCCGGGTCCCACACACCTGGGTTCCTCTGCCAGTTCTGTTATGTCTGAGGCTTATCCAAGTGTGTGGAGAGTGGCCCCAGTAAGGCCTTGGTTGGGGCCTGCTAGGGTTAGGAAAGATTAATCTGGCCTGAGCACTGTAGTCTTGAGATCTACAGCGAGATGTTCCCAGGAGAGCCACCCCACAATCTTAATGTATCTCTTACTGTGTCCATACAAAATAACTAATATTAACAAGCAGAATTAAGAATCAGCCTAATCAGTGGCTGAATAAATAGCAGTACTCCTACACTAAAAAAAAAAGTAGAATTAAGATACTGATTATGACTACGGAAAGGAGGAAAACCCCTCGGTGGTATTTCTGCCCTTGAGTCTGACCGGTGATCAGGAAGGGTTTTGATATGTTGATTGTGCTACCCCCAATGCTGGGGAGACTGGAGAGAGACTAGAGACCAAGATGGAGAGGGGAGCAAGGAGCCTGGATTGATGAGCAAGGGGGACAGGTGGAGACGGGAATGGGGAGCTGAGTGAGCCTGGAACAGGCGCATGGGGAGAACGGAATAAACGGCGACTGATCCCCAACCAGCCTGGCTGTGATCCGCCCTTGGCCTCGGCAGTCCCGGGCGGGGAAGCGGCTGCAGACCACTGAACGCAGGCAGCAAGAGAGAGGCGTGAGATTCCCAGGCGCGCGTGATTACACAGTAAGGCACTCTTTAAGTACTGCCTCGCGGCCAACCCTGGTTCAGTCTGCAGCACACTGGGCACCCCTGAGGAGTTCTGCCCAGGAGGCGGGGAGAACTCGACAGACCCTCCCTCAGAATACCATTTGTGAACATGAAATCACACGAGAGAAAGGATAATGATGATAGAAGTTAATTCTATTGCAGTCATGGAAAAGTGTATTTGTGATCTGTAACGTGGTAATAGCACAGCAGAGCAGGTGGGACAGTCCATTCTGGGTCAATGCACTGGATAATCAGAAATCCCTGCTTTGTAAGCGACAGCTGAGAGAACTCTGGGTGCAAACCGTATTGGAGTTATCTGCAGCAAACAGTCTCCGAGGACGCCTGTGTCTGCTAACACTGACTACAGCCACGATGGAAGAAACTGCCAAATGGAAGTTCAAGGACAGGGAAGCTACAGATGCCAATTCCTTCCCCTCAAATCCACAGACTGATTTCCTTTTGTGAGAGAAAGGAAGAAACAGCGGCCTGGAATGCACTGAGCAGCTCCTCAAAGCATGTTTGGACACCTGCTGGCACACACGAGGCCCCGAGTATGAGTCCCAGCACCGCACTCCTGCCCAATCACTGCCAGGTCAGAAGAGCATGACATCACCAGGCCTGCCAGGCGAGACCAAGGACAGGGGGACAGCCCTGCAGCACCCTGAGCGCTTGCTAGGGAGCAGTGGGGGCCCCCAAATCAGCATATTTACAACACTGCTGGGAATGACCTAGAGAGAGCGAAAGAATTCGAGAAAGGAGGGCAATGGAGAAGACAGGGCTGGGCTTGAACAACACAAGGCTCCCCTATCCCCCCCCCACACACACGGAAAGGAGAGACACAAGTTGGAGCCAGACTTGGGGTACCCTTGTGGATTTGGCGGTGAAAATATGAAGCAGCATCTATTTTCACTGGAGAGGAGTGTGAAATGCGGAGGGAGGTGTGGAGAAAAACAGACAATGGGCAGGAAATAAAATTTCTACATTTAAAAAAGGATTTTTGGGGGGTTTTTGGGGTTTTTTTTAATTTTTGGGTCACACCCAGAGATGCTTAAGGTTTACACCTGGCTCTGCACTCAGGAATGACTCCTGGTGGTGTCTGAGGGGCCATATGGGATGCCTGGGGATTGAACCTGAGTCGGCTGCGTGTAAGGCAAATGCCCTCCCCACTGTACTATCGCTCTAGCCCCTAGAAAAAGGATTTTTGGAACCAGAGAGATCGCATATCTGATAGCATAGCAGATAAGATGCTTGCCTTACAAACCTGGTAAACCTGGGTTCGATCAACCCCAGGATTGATCCCTGAGCACAGAGCCAGGACAAAACCCTAAGCACAGCTGGGCATGAACCAAAAACAAATCAAAATTAAAAATACAAGGGCTCGAGCAATAGTACAGCTGGTAGGGCACTTCCCTTGCATGTGTCCAACCAGGTTCGATCCTCGATATGGGAATATGGTCCCAGAGCACTGTCAGGAATAATTCCTGAGTGCAGAGCCAGGAGGAACCCCTGAGCAAAACTGGATGTGGCAAAACACAAAAACAAAAAGCGAAGGGTTGGACACCAACCAGGTGTCCTTGTTCTTCCAATCAGGAAATGAGTCCAGGCAGGGGGCCCCAGGGGAGTGGGGGGAGGAGGGAAGGAGCCAGGGAACAAGGAGTCCCAGGTTCTCTTCAGACAAAGAAGTCAGAGGCACTGCTAAGAAGAATGCTGGGAGAAAAGGGGAGAAAAGGGTCTGGCATTTCCGGAGGCTCTGCACACGAGGAGGAGAAGCGAAGGGTCAGAGCAGACTGAAGGGCATCGGTGCCAGCCGGAACTGGTCGTGGCCAGGACAGGCGGTCTGCAGCCCTGAGCCGGTGACAAGAAAGCATTCCTGGCCCTTGGTCTGACTATAAACTCATGAGGTGGCGGCATACTCCACTTCTTCTCCTTTGATGAAGATGAAACCATCAGACCAGAAATGATACAGCCCTAAGAGCCTGGCTAGGGGCCAGGAGAGGACTCAAGGGGCCGGGTATGAGCTTTGTATGTGGGAGCCCCCGGAGTACAAAGCATGTTCCCCCAGGAGCAGCCCCAGAGCACAGATGTGACTCAGAAAGAAAACAAAAACCTAACACCCATGTCATATTGCCCAACTGGTTGACCCATTCTCTTATGCCGTTTGGGCATCCAAAACCCTTTTTTCAGTATTTCCCAAACTCAAGATCATCCACAGGAACAAAGATACAGACCAGCAGAGCTGGGAGGAAGCAGCCGGCCAGAGCTCCCGACCTCAGTCAGGAGCTCACGCTGTTCCACATGAGAACCGACTGGAGGCTCAGCTCGGCTCAGCGAGAATCCTGCCTCCTCGCCTGGCGGGTACCCACGTTTGCTCGGTTCCCACGTCCACCCAGCAAAGCCCGGCCCGTGGAGCCAGAGAGGCTTCCAGACCTCGCAGCGCTGGTACTCGCTGGGAGAGCAGGAGGCACTCTCTCCAGGGAGAGCCCCCCCAAGCCTTTCAGGATCTAAGGATGGAAGGAAAGCCCTGCTCGGACCCAGAACCCACGGCTGCCGCCACCCAGACCCCGGAGGAACACTGCGCAGCAGTGTGGAGGGACAGATGCCCAAGGTGGCACAGGTCCCACCCGGGGTGCTCAATGCTCACACCTCACCCCAGCATCTGTGCCGACCGTGCAGCCCCCACACACTCCTCTCCCACGAGACTCCATCACCAGTGACTGAACAAGTGCCAGGTGGGGGACTGCGGCCCACTCAGGGACAACCAGCCTGTCCCACAGTGAGGTCAAGAGGTCGGTGCCCAGCACCATCCCAGAGCCACAGCAAAATGTGGGACCCCAAGAAAGCACTAAAACCAGGAAAGGGATATACAGGTACCACAACTAACGCATGGGCACGGCACTGCAACCAAACAAATGGGGCGTCTGGACACCGGCACCACAGTGACAGAGGGGACGGGGAAAGCACGCGGCCCAACGGGATGTCGAGGTTTTCTTCAGTGCCCAGTGAGAAGCAGCCAGTTTCTCAAGGAATCTGCTACTCACCTCATGACCGAACAGGAAAGAAGTCACGTGAGCAGCGAAGAAAACTAAAACCCACTGAATAAAACCAGGTGCTCACAGGGCTGGACAGAGAGTACAGGGGTTGAAGCGCTTGCCCAAGAGGCCTCGTTAGAACTAAAGGAACTCACACTCAGGCTCCAGTTCGGTGCATGGTTGACCGGGTTTTCATACACACCCAAAAAAGCACCCCAAGGACTTTTAAAAACTCTAAGGCTGGGGCTGGAGCGACAGCACAGTGTGGAGGGTGTTTGCCTTGCACGTGGTCGACCCAGGTTCGATTCCCAGCATCCTATCTGGTCCTCTGAGCATCGCCAGGAATAACTCCTGAGTGCAGAGCCAGGAGTAACCCCTGTGCATAGCCGGGTATGACCCAAAAAAAGCAAAAAAAAAAACCACTCTAAAGCTGCATATGGGGGAGCAGTAAGATAGCCTAGAGGGCATCGACTTAAACGCAGCCAACCCGGTTCGATCCCAGGCATCCCATATGCTCCCCCAGCACTGCCAGGAGTGGCTCCTGAGTGCAGAGTCAGAAGTAATCCCTGAGCACTGCCAGATGTGGCTCCAAAGAAACAAAAACCAAACCACTCTGATGCTGCAGCAGGTGGTGGGATGCTTTGCCAGTGGCAACCTGGGTTCAATCCCTGGTCTGCCCCCACAATGTGATCCCTGTTGCGAAGCACCACCAGGAGTGAACCCTAGGCCCTGTAAGGCAGGGCCCCAAATCAAAATAAAACAAGACCAAAAACCCACAAGACATAAAGGCTGCCCATGGTGTGCTGGAACTCTGCAATTCCATTTCAGATAACAGAAACAAAAAGTATTCTTTAGACACTGGTAAGCTCTAAAGCAAAGTCACGGATCACCTTACCATTGCGAAAAACTTTGTTAAAATCAAAGCCTTGGCTCGCCAGAAAGTCAATGCTCGAGCTCTGAAACAAGAGAAAAGAGAACATACGTTTGGGTGGTTTTAGCAACAAGCACGGAAAGCAATGATTCCAGCCGAGCTACAACAAAGTAATCTGACAAAGACACAGCACGTCAAAGGTGTCCTGATTCAAGGCCACCAAGCAGTCCATGTTTACTTCAATTATCTGGACTCTTCTACTTGATAGATTAAAAAAAAAATACACATGGGGCCTGAGAGATAGTACAGCGGGCAGGGTACTTGCCTGACTGCTATACTGACTAGAGACTAGAAATAGGCATAAAATCGATTTATATCATCTCAGGTTCAAGAGAGGATAGTTCACAAGTGCAAATTAAGTCAATTAGCCCTTCCAAATCAGACTCTCAAAACCCAACATCTTAGCTGGATAATTTTTTCACACTCAGGGTCAAGTAAGAGGGCCAGGGAGTCGGGGAAAGCAGTGGGTAGGGTGCTTGCCATGCACGTGGCTGACCCAGGTTCCAGCGCCTGGGGATAATCCCTGGCACAACCAAAAGAAAAAGGAATATACAAACAGGAAAAAAAAGGAGGGGGGAAAAAAAGAAGAAATAAGTCTACTCCCTTTGGAGCTATATTTCCTATTCAAATTATATGCCCTTTAGGTTACATAATGTATTTAATGTCATTAAACTTTAAAGCCACTTGAAAACAATTAAAATGGCACAATTTATTCTTCGTATTTCTAGCCATCATTTTTTTAAAAACTCTAAGACAACAGTCTGCTTGTGGTTTACCTCTGATTTCCTAAATGTGCCACTTCCACAATTCTAGAGATGAGCACAGCCATCTGGGAGGCAACTTAAGGCATCTATCAAAAATTAAAATTTTGGCAATGCTGAGACTAAAATCCAACATTCTCAGCCCATTTCATCAAAATTTTAAATGCCTAAGTCCTAAGAGTCACCAATATCCCTGCTCTACCCTAAAGAAATACTCCAGGGGCTGGAGTGATAGCACAGCGGTAGGGCGCTTGCCTTGCATGTGGCCAACTGGGGTTTGATTCCCAGCCTCCCATATGATTCCCTGAGCACCACCAGGAGTAGTTCCTGAGTGCAAAGCCAGGAGTAACCCCTGTGCATTGCCAGGTGTGACCCAAAAAGCATAAAAATAAAAAAATACTCCTGAGCCAGAAAGATGGTACAGTGTATAGGGCATTTGTCTTGCACAGAGCCAATCTAGGTTAGATGTCCGGCATCCAATATGGCCCCCGAGCACCACCAGGAGTGATTCCTGAGTACAGAACCAGGAGTAAGCCCTGAGCATTCCCAGATGTGGCCCACATCAAAATTCCTATATTGGGGCGAAAGAGAGAGCACAGTGGGTAGGGTGACTCAGGTTCATTAGGTTAACTCAAGTTCAATGCCTGGCATCCCATATGATCACTGCAGGAGTAATTTCTGAATGCAGAGCAGGGAGTAACCACTGAGCATCACTGACTGCAGCTCCAAAACAAACAACCAACAAAAGGGGAAATATTCCTATTGGAGCCGAGAGAAAATGTGTGGATAGAGCACTTGCGTGGTACACAACTGATCTGGATTTAATCCCCATGTCCCATCTGGTTCCCCAAGGCCACCAGCAGTGATCCCTGAGCAGCACAGAGCCAGGAATAAGCCCTGAGTACCTCTGAGTTCGGCCCCCCAAAAATCAAAAAACAAAATCAAAACAGTCCTATATACACTGCGCCCTGAAGTGAACTACAGCATTGTTTAAATGAGGACATAATGCAAAGCTTCCAAATGCTAATTAAATGAATTATACATATCCTGTCACTGTCACTGTCCTCCCACTGTTCATCGATTTGCTCGAGAGGGCCCAGTAACACTGTGAGACTTGTTACCGTGTTTGGCAAATCGAATATGTCACGTTTTGCCATGTCAGGTTGTCAGGTTTTGCCATGCGGGCGAGATACTCTTGGTTGCTTGCTGGGCTCTCCAAGAGGGGCGGAGGAATCGAACTTGGGTCAGTCATGTCAGCTGTGTGCAAGGCAAACGCCCTACCCGCTGTGCTATCATATCCATAGCATGAAATATGAAAACTAAAAAATGCAATTTATATCAACTATGACAATCAAGATTTTATACTGAAGACAAAAGGTAAAATTATGCATGTATTTAGACATTACCTGCAGGCACAGGCCCATGTACACACACACACACCACAAACACACAAATAAAAAGGAAGGAAAACAAAAGGGAATGAAACAGAGAGTAACTCAGGAGCTGGCTGAGTGAATGCTTTGCATGTGGGAGGCCCCCCAACAGTGTCTCAGCGGGACACATGGTCCCCTGAGCACCAGCAGGGGGCCCCCAAACAAGAAGGGAGTATCTGACGGGAAAAGAGCTGATAGGGCCAGAGCACATGCCTCACTCACTGGGCACTGCCACAAGTAGCTTCCAGGCACTTTGTGACCAAAAAAAAAAAAAAGAGAGAAAGAATCTCATTTTTCACTTTGTAAACAGCAGCAATATTTTGATTGCTCACGGCTCCACATATTACCGTCCATGAATTCAACTCAAAGTTCAAGCAAAAAAGAAGAGAGAGAAATAAAGACTGTGCTACCGTGCCCGTTGCCGACCATGCCACCAGGGAAACCATTCCCCAGAGGGTGGAACTCTGTCAACCCGTCCCTCCCTGCCGGCCCCACGTAGAAGTGCCTTACTGGTACCCAGACACGCGCCAAACAACACACTAAGGTGCTTTACCCTCAGATCCTATCAGTGCTCAGGGTGATGCAAGTTTTTTAAATGTGATTCTGACTGGACACAAAGTTCTCAACTCCCTGCTGATGAAATCTAGAAACTAATTCCCTCCCAAGACACCACCCAGTAGCAGACACAGGATTTTAAAACAAAAAGGCATTTTAAGTGGGGACTAAAGGAGAAAATTCAGACACATTTATCAGTGCACTGCACAAGGGCACTGTATTTTTAAACCCTTTGTTTCACATTTCTAGACTATAGATAATTGTAGTTTTTCATGCCTTGCTCCATCAGAGGAATTACTCTATCCCGTCCTCAAGTCTATTAGCATTTTTTTTCTTTTTGCTTTTCGGTCACATCTGGCAATGCTCAGGGGTTACTCCTGGACCTGCCTCAGGAGTTACTCCTGGCAGTGTTCGGGGGACCCTATGGGATGCTGGGAATCGAACCTGGGTCGGCTGTGTGCAAGGTAAACGCCCTACCCACTGGACGTCCTACCCCAGCCCCAGAAACAAGGTAGTTTGTTTTGTTTTGTTTTTCTTTTTTGGGTCACACCCGGCATTGCACAGGGGTTACTCCTGGCTCTGCACTCAGGAATTACTCCTGGTGGTGCTCAGGGGACCATATGGGATGCTGGGAATAGAACCCAGGTCAGCCGCATGCAAGGCAAACGCCCTCCCCACTGTGCTATCGCTCCAGCCCCCAAGCAAGGTAGTTTTAGTGAATAAAATTTACTTAGAAAGACGTGAGGGGAGAGAAAGAAAATGTGTTGGAGAGAGAAAACGGGCTTCTCCAGGGTAAAAAAAAAAAAATCAAACACAGAGACAGATCAGGCCAGTCTACCAGCAAGCCAAGAGACAGATACATGTTGGAAGGAGAACACAGGCTTGAAGAAGCAAGCCTGGGTCTTCCTGTAAAGAGTAGCTGCCATGGTGGAGTTCGTGCACAATTCAATCAGCCTAATCAGTGGCTGAACAAATAGCAGTACTCCGGTCACGGTCACGGTCCTCCCGTTATTCGTCGATTTGCTCGAGCGGGCCCAGTAACGTCTCCATTGGAGACTTTGTTGTTACTGTGTTTGGCATATCGAATACTCTCGGTAGCTTGCCGGGCTCTCCGAGAGGGGCGGAGGAATCAAACTTGGGATCGGCCATGTTGGCTGCGTGCAAGGCAAACGCCCTACCGCTGTGCTATCGCTCCAGCCCACAACAGTACTCCTACATAAAAAAAAAAAAAAGAGTGCCTGGGGTCTCTGACTATTCCAGGTGGAGCCACACTATGGCTCAGGACAGTGGCTAAAGTTCTTCTGATCTGTTTCTAAGACATTTCCCAAAAGCATTTTTTTTAAGTTCTTGGAGCACTCCCACCGGTACATGAAGTTTACTCCTGGCTCTCCACTCAGGGATCACTCCTGGAGGTGCTGGAGGACATATGGGGTGCCGGGGATCGAACCCAGGTTTGCTGTGTGCAAGGCAAATGCCCTCCCCACTGTACTACTACTCTAGTGTGTGACTGTTGCTTTGTTTTATCTGGGGCCACACCCAGCGGTGCTCAAGGATTACTCTTGGCTCTGTGCTCAGGGATCATTTCTGGAGGGCTGGCGTGGTGGGGAGGGGGGAAATGACTATCTACACTGCCTCTCTGTCTACACTATCTCTCCACTATCTCCCAGCCCTTTATTTGTGTTGATCTTTTAGAACACACTCTCATCCCTGAGGGCTCTGATTTCTACTGTGCTGAAACATGAAGCCCACTGTAATTAACCTGAATGCTAACTACTAACCCAGAGGTTAATTACAGTGGCATTCATGCAATTAACGATTGTTAAAACCTGAACCCCACTGTAAATAACTGTCTTCTACTGGTACTGCTGGAAAACTAAATTCACACAAATTTCCAGTCTATTTTTCTCTGAGTATCAAAATAATACCACTGACATCACCAATACTAAGAAAATGACTGGTAAAGAAAACTGTTATGTGATTTCAGGATTAAAAAAAAAAACCAAGTCTGGTTGATTTACCAAATTGAACAAACAGACCAACATTACATTCTCCATTACTTTTCCACCCCAGAGCGATGAACTCTATCACTGGTTTGCCACTTGCATTACTGCAGAAGGAACATGGTGTGACTCAGTTCCTCATGTCTCCCCTCCAGGCCTTCTTAACTGCATCTCCCCTTAGATGCCAGAGAAGGATGAGACTGGCAAGATTCAAGAAATCTAGTTAGGGGCTGGAGCAATAGCACAGCTGGTAGGGCGTTTGTCACGCACGCATTCAAATCGCAGCATCCTATATGGTCCCCCAAGCACTGCCAGGAGTAATTCCTGAGTGCAGAGCCAGGAGTAACCCCTGTGCGTCGCCGGGTATGACCCGAAAAGAAAAAAAAAGAGAGATCTAATGATGCTACAGGGAGAGAATCTGGGGCCCAGGATTATAAGGGAGAAAAGATTAGCACTTATCTTTAATCACAAAGCCCGGGCCACCAATCCACATACCACTTACCCACATAACAGATAATCAAAAGGGCTGAGGGGAAACGTATTTACTGTGTCTCAACCACACTACAATGGGGATGGCGTCAGGTGAACCTTGTGGGATCACAAAGTTAGCTCTCACCTCCAGAGGAGGAAAGAGTCATCTTTGAGGCCCCAGCAGGAGGGGCATTTGCCTTGCACACGGCCAACCAGGATTCAAACCCCAGCATCCCATATGGTACCCCCAGCACAGCAAGGAGTTACTTCTGAGTGCAGAGTCAGGGGTAACCCCTGAGCATCACGGGGTATTGCCCAAAGGCAAAAACCATAACAACAGAAAACAACAATAAAACAACAATCAATAACACAAAAACAATGACAGAGTCAGTCGTCTGTGATCCACCCTGGCTTTCCGAGGTGGTAAAGGAAGCTGAAGAAAGGATCACACATTTGTCCCTGAGTTCTTTCGGGAGTCTCTCTTCTAGGAGAGGACACACACACATTCAGGCTTTTTTCAGGAAATAAAGTTCTATCCTGGAGGGAGATGCAAGGACAACTGGCATGGAGAGAAGCCTATAGTCCTCATCTACAGAACAATTCAGAGCTATAGTTTTTTCTGTTGGTAGGCTGGGTTTTTTGGTTTGGTTTGGTTTTGGGGACACACCTGGCAAGGCTGAAGGTTACCTTACTCCTGCCTTTCAGGAATCACTCTTGGCGATACTGAAGGGACCATATGGGATGCCAGGATACCAATGTACTATCTCTCCGGCCCCTGGAGCGAGAATAGTGAGTATCAGTGGGCCAGGAAGATGGCTCAAAGGGCTATGTATATGCATTGCATGTAGGAGGCCCAGGCCTGAGCCCCAGCACCACATGGCGCCCCCAAACACTAAGCCTGAAGAAGCGCCTGAAACACATCTGGTGGTGTCACAAAACAAACCAAAAGAAAGGGGGATCAGCGAGATAGTACAGAGGATAAGGCATTTGCCACGCATGTTGTCGAATCCTGTTCAGCCCCTGGCACCACATGGACCCAAATGGGGGGGGGGGGAATATATCTCTATTTTTTTTCCAAAAGAACGCCTGGCCGCCCACCTACAAAATGGTCAGACTTCGTCAAGACCCTGAATAAGGACTGGAGTGACAGCACAGCGGGTAGGGCGTTTGCCTTGCATGCGGCCAACCTGGGTTCAATTCCCAGCATCCCATATGGTTCCCCCAGCACCGCCAGGAGTAATTCCTGCGCGCAGAGCCAGGAGTAACCCCTGAGCACTGCTGGGTGTGAATCAAAAAGGAAAAAAAAAAGGACCCTAAATGAACAGTTTGAGGCTCTTTGTGTTCCTGAAGCTAGCAGATGCCATTGGGCTATACTAGCACATGACAGGGACGAATGGGGACATTACTGGTACCCGCTCCAGCAAATCCGATGAGCAACGATGAGAAAGGGGATGACAAGTGATACAAGTGACACATATGTGTGTGTGTATGTGTGTGTGTATATATATATATGTACATGCTTAAAACCTTAAATACAACTACATTATATTGAGAAAAGGGCTCAAATTCAGTTTTACTAAGAATACAGTTCATGTTAAAATCCATCTCTCTCTCACTGCTGGATTCATTTTTATTCTTTAGCGGGGGGGGGGCAAAGTTCTCCTCTTATCACCCTAAAACTGAAGATCAGACAGAAGTGAAATGATGCACCCGAAGTCATTGGTGGAGCTTAATCTCAGAGAGAACTCTGGCTTGTCATTTCTGCACCCCCCTCAGCAATTCACAAAAGGAGAAAACTCAGCGACAAACCTGGCAAACAAATTTGACATCTGGTGAGGATCTGTTGAAGGGTTTCGGGAAAACGTAGAAGTTGAATGATTTTGTTACATACCTGAGAAAAACAAGATTAAAGGAGACTTAAGAGAGTCATACAAGGCGGCCACAAAAGAATCCCCAGCCTGGTCAAAACAACCTACTTTGAATCTGCGTGGTCATATTTAAAAGTGCAAAGGCCAAACTGAAACAGCAAAAAGTCCATGGAATGCTGAAAAGGAGAGATAAAACTTGTGTCAAAGAGAGCTGATGATTAGACGTGAGCAAGACCAGCCTGAACCGTGTGGGCTTTTAGACTACCCAAGTAGATTCTGGCAGAGTACTTCCACTTAGAAGAGGTTACAGATTACTGATGAGCATTATTCACTGACATACATTTCTTAATTTTTTTCCCAATGTCTCCATTCCCCGCCCACAGGGCATCAAAGCAGGTCCATTTCAAAATGACTAAACTGGACCAAGATGGCTCAAGGGGCTGGGACAGCACATGCACGCGTGCATTTGAGAGCCAAGTTCAATCCTGGACCCTGCGAGCAAGGTCCTCAGAGCGCTACTGGGGGTGCCAACGCCGTTCCTATCTTCCATCAATTAGTCAAATTAACACTGGAAATACTACGCCATTCCTATCTTCCATCCAACAATTATTTTTGCTGTTTTGGGTAGCACGAAAATATCACTTCATATGCACGGGCTGAGAAGTTAATACGTAAGGTAAATTTTATTATCTGTGATCCAATATAAGGAAGAGCAACACAGAGGAAAGGAAGATTTTTCCAGCCCTCTGTCTTACCTTTTTAAGCTTCTGATACCTTTCCTCTGGAGTGTCAAAACCATTTGTTAATGCAGTGACTGAAGGTCCATCACTGATTCCTAGAGTTGAAGAAACAAAGAAAAAAAATTGAGGGGGAGGGGGTTTGGGTCACACCCCAGGATGCTCAGGGCTTACTCCCTGGATCTGTGCTTTACTTCTGTAAAAAAAATAGAAACACCCCCTCAAAAAACAATAGGAGGTGCCCAGAGTAGTAAAACTCATGGAAATATGAATAACGGTCTTGAGAGGCTGGAGAGGGAAGAAATGGAGCGTCACTTCTCAATGGGTCAAGTTCTGGAGCCAGGCTGTTAAGGGTGATTCCATGAATGCACTTAATGCCACTGATGTGGAAAATAAATCATTTTAAAATGTGTGAAGGTGGGGGCTGGGGTGATAGTACAACGGGTAGGGCGTTTGCCTTGCAAGCGGAAGACCCGGGTTCGATTCCCAGCATCCCATATGGTCCCCTGAGTACCACCAGGAGTAATTCCTGAGTGCAGCGCCAGGAGTAACCCCTGTGCATCACCAGGCGTGACCCAAAAAGCAAAAACTAAATAAAAATAAAATGTGTAGAGTGGTAGACAGCTGGAGGGGCTGAAGTATGCCGGAACCCTGGGTCCCCCAGCCCCGAACAACGAACTGGGGAGCAGCCCTCTTAGCATCACGGTGGGCCCCCAAATAAACAACGGCCCACAGGCCGCACACGGTGCCATTCCCGCACCCGCCCGCACCCGCCCGCTTCCCGGGGCAACGGGCCACGCAGAGGTGGCAGCCAAACCATCACCCCCGCCCCTCCCCAAAACGCCCATCTTCCCTCCTGAGCCCCTGGGGTGCCCACCCGCTCCCCCACGCGCTGCCCGGGCAGGGGGCGCTCGCGTGGAGGGTGCTTGAAGAGGCAGCCCCTCTCCTGCCGGGCGCCCCGCCGCCACCCAAGGGCCCAAGACCGCGGGGGGCGGGGGGGCGGAGAGACGGGGGCGGCCGGCCGGGGCGGGGCGGGTACCCGAGAACTCCCCGTCGATGGCGAAGAAGTCGGCCTCCTCGATGGCCTGGTACACCTTGGGGAGGCTGCTCTTAAAATCTGCGGGGAAACAGAGAAGGAGCTGAGCGCCGGCCGGGCCCGCGGGGCGGGGAGGCGGGTCCGGGCTGCACGGGCGCGCGGGGACGCCGCGGGACCCGGCGGGGCAGGGTCGAGTCCCCGCGGGGGCTCGCGGGACCCTTCGGCGTCGCGGGGCAGGGCCCAGCCCGGCGCCCGCGCGTCCGATGGGAAAAGCCGGGCGGCGGGCGCGGGCCCACCCGCCAGGAGGCGCGCCGCCTCACGCCCGCCGCGGGCTGGGCCGCGCGCCGGGGCCGGGGCGCGGGGTCGGGGGCGCGCGGCGGGCACGCACTGCTCCGAATGATCTCCATCCCGCCGCGAGGGCCCGCGCCGCCCGCCCGGGGCCCGCCTCGGCCGTTCCGCTGGCGAGTCGCGCGGCGCCGCGGCGGCACCCCAGACCGCGGCGGCGACTTCCGGAAACAGCGCGCGCCGGCGCGCGTCACGTGCGCGGCGTCACGGCAGGGGCGGGGCCGGACGCGGAGGAGGGCGGGCGGGGCGTCTCGGGGGCGGGGCGCCTCGGGGGCGGGGCCCGCCGGAAAGGGGCGGCGCGGCGGGCGGGCCCGGGGCGGGGCCGGGCGCTGGAGGGGCGGGGCCGGGCGCTGGAGGGGCGGGGCCTGGCGCGGGCGCGCCTCCGGCCTGCGGAGTCTTCCCAGCTGGACCGGTCCGTCCGCGCGGCGTGCCTTCCGGGCCGCGTCCCAGCGGGGAGGCGGGAGGCGGTGACGGAGAGCGGACGCACGTCTCCACTCTCTGTGCGACCTACCTGGGCAGGTAGCGGGGAGGCAGGTCGGGGTCGAGCTCGCCGCGTGGAAACAGGAGCCTCCTTGCTGCCGAGAGCGAGGCAGGCGCTTGGCGGAGCGGAGGCGGGAGGAGGCGCCGGGTGATCGGGGTACGGCGGGTGCTTGCCGTGACGTGTGGCCGGCCCCGGTTGCAAGGGTCCCCCGAGCCCTGCCAGGAGAGACCCCTCAGCACGGCCGGCCTAGAGTGGCAAAAAGAAGAAGGGCGGAGAACCCCGTTGGAGGTGGCGTTGGAGCATCGTACGCACCAAACCCTGCCGTTATAGGGTTTATTATAAGTATTACAAGTTTTGTATTATAAGTCGAGGCCTGAGAATAGCACAGCAGCTGGGTTTGTTCCTCCACCCAGGATAGTCCCCTGAGTCTGCTCGGGGGTGTCGGTGAGTGATTCCTGAGCGCAGAATTAGGAGTAAGCCCTAAGAGTGGAGCCCAAATGGGGGGGGGGGGGTGACAAAAAATTGTAAATCATGGTGCCTGGAATCAAAATATAAATTTAAGGGCTGGAGAGATAGTAGGTAGATGAGGTGTTTGTCTTGCACATGGACGGCAAACTTCGATCCCCTGTCCCACATGTAGTCCCTTATGGTCCTGAGCCCCCCATGTGTGAACCCTGAGCTCAAAGCCAGGAGTTAAGTCCTAAGCACAGGTCTGGCCCAAAAAGAAAAAAAAATGAAAGGAAATGACAGAGTGACTGAGATAACTCAGTGATAGAGGTCTTGCCTTGCAGACCTGAGGCCACAATGCCTGGCAGCAGCCCATACCCTAATGTGATCCTGATTCCCTCAGCACGGCCCTTTTTTTTTTCTGCTGCGGGACTGAGTGGAGCCACAACTGATTCTCGCCACTGTTCTCACCACTGTTCTCACAACTCAACACTGTTCTCACAACTGTTCTCACCACTCATTCCTAGCTCTGCACAGCAGGTAGAGCCCCTGGCCTTGCACACAGCAAACCCAGATTCAATCCCTAGCACCACATATAGGTCCCCAAAGACCTGCCAGGCGTGATTCCTGAGCACAGAGCCAGGAGTAAGCATTACTGGGTGTGACCCCCAAACAAACACGTTTCATGAGACTGATTAAGTGATTTTTTAAAATAAGACACCAAAAGCACAGCAATAATAAACAGAAAAGTAGATAGACTACATCAAAATTTGAGAAAATTAAAGCATGTATCCAGAAGCACTATTCATCACACTCTATAGAATGAGAAAAACATTTGCAAATCCAGTTCTAATAAAAAATAACAATTTATCTTCAATATTTTATGTATTTATACAACTCAGCAAGTCAAAAATAAGCAATCCCATTTAAGAATAAAGCACTTGAACAAACATCTCCAAAGAGGATATATCTGCAAAGCCTACAAATCTATAAAAAAATGCTCACATCGCTAAAAATTATGATACCATTTCATGCCCATTAGACAATAAATTGGGATCTCTGTGCATGGCCAGTGAAAAGGTCAAAGGTACAGCCACTGTGGAAAAGAGAATGGTGGCTCCTAAATTAAAAACAGAATTGTCTGCAGGAAGAATAGACCGAAGGGTTGAAATGAAGGCTTTGCCTACAGAAGTAAATGGTCCAGTACCCGGCACTTAACAGTTCCCACTCCCAACTTGGTCAGGAGTGACACCCTGCCTCCACCCAACACCTCTCAGGAAGCTGCACAACCACCTCCCCACACTTGGTGTGGCTCAAAAACAAAACACTAGAGGGCCAGATGGAGCCAAAGAAGAGAGCACAGCAGGTTAGGCAATTGCCTTGCCACTGACCCAGGTTTGATCTCCAGCATCCCATTGGTCCCCCAAGGACTGCCAGAAGTAATTCCTGAGTGCAGAGCCAGGAGTAATCCTTGAGCATCACCAGGTGTGACCCCCCCCCCACACACACACACACAAAATAGAGGGCCGGAGCCATAGTACAGTGGGCAGGGGACTTGCCTGACATATGGTTGACCCAGGTTCTATCTCCAGCATCCCATATAGTCCCCTGAGCCCTGCCAAGAGTGATCCCTGAGTCCAGAGCCAGGACTAAGTCCTATGACCAGGAGGAAATCCTGGGTCCCAAATGCAAACAAACAAACAAAAAAAAACAATTATTGAAAACAAAGGTTTGAGTAGGTATAGCCAGACCTCTGTATCTGTGGTTCCATATCTATGCATTCGACCAACCTAGATTGAAAAATGCCATGCTCTGGGGGCTGGGGATACAGCTCAGCAGCAGAGCACAGACCTTGCATGTATGAGACCCTGGGATTAATCACATGCACACACACACACACACACACACACACAATAGCAACAACAAAAACCATGCTCTGGTTAGGTTTTAAGTTTGTACTAAAAAAATGTGGGGGGCTGGAGCAATAGCACAGTGGGTAGGGTATTTGCCTTGTACACAGCCGACCCGGGTTTGATCCCCAGCATCCCATATGGTCCCCCGAGCACTTCCAGGAGTAATTACTGAGTGCATGAGCCAGGAGGAACCCCTGTGCATCGCCAGGTGTGACCCAAAATAAATAAATAAATAATAAATGGGTTCACACAAGGCAAGTACCTTAAGCCCTGAACTAGCCTACACCCAAATATTTCATTTGCAGGGTGGGCAGTTGAGGATAGCTGGGAGGTGGAACACTTGTGGTGCTCAGGGCTTACTCCTGCCTAGTTCTGTGCTCAAGTTCACTCCTACTGGGGCTCCCAAGACCAGGCATGTGCCAGAGATCAAACTGGCTGCAGCAAGGCAATCACTCAATTGTCTTAACTCTTACTACCTCTCCTGCCTCAGTATTTTTTTAATTATTTTGTGGGGGGCCGTACTGGGGTGCTCAAATCCTAATCCTGGCTCTGTGCTCAGCGATCACTCCTGGCAGGCTCAGGGATCTTTTGGGCTAGAGATTGAAGGCCAGATTGGCTGTGCACAAAGCAAGTGCCCTATTCACTGTCTGTCACCACAGCCCCTCTCCTGGCCCAGAATTCTTAGCTCAAGGATTGCATTTGCTCACACCTGTGTGAAGCCAAATCTCATGCCATGAAGTCTCAACTAAGCCTCAGCTGTTTCCCCCGAGCAGGACTAGCAGTTTCTGGTTAAACTCCCCGTTGAGTTTATCTGCCAAGATAAGAAATTGGGCAGTTGGATCTGGCTGGTCATGAGGGGTCACTGCACCCTCCTTAGAGACTGTTGCTAACCATTGCCTAAATGCTGACCATCATTGTAATAGGGCTGACGCTAAAAATAGACCAGTCTATCAATTGCTTAACTCTGAACCCTATATAAACCGCTTGTGATTTGGAGTCGGGGTCCTTGACAGGACTCCACTGCGTTGGATGAGACTTGGACCCTGGCTCGGGCTAGCGCTGGCTCTGGCTAGTGATCAAGTTCCTTTGCTTTTGCATTTGGTGTGTGGCCTCGGTCTCTCGTCGATTGGAGATCTGGAACTTGGCACAACATTAGGGACATCATGCCCTCTCCTCTAGTGATAGTCACTTGTTTTGCCAGAAAACTACTTATAAACCTGAAATCTATTATTAAAAAGCGAAGGTGTCACAGGCATTCTGACTTCTCCAGAGTAGCCCTGAAACAAAGCTGTGTGATGGGATGGGCGGGGGAAGGGGGTGTTTCCTCTGCAAGACGGGAAAATACTGAAGAGGGTTGCACAACAATGTGAACGTGCCCAATGCCACTGAACCGCATGCCCTGCTCACCCGGTCCCCTACACGCCAGCACAGAACATTATCGATCTTCTTCCTCTTCGGTCAACGTCAAAAGTAGTAGGGGTGGGGCAATTGGGGAGCAATCCAAAGGATGAACAGATCCGCGGTTCTCAACGGACCAAGCTGCAAGAAGGAAAAAACTCTTACTACTGCAAATTGAACTTTGTATTTGCTCGAGCGGGCCCAGTAACGTCTCCAGTGGAGACTTTGTTGTTACTGTGTCTGGCATATCAAATACTCTCGGTAGCTTGCCGGGCTCTCCGAGAGGGGCGGAACTTTGTATTTATCTATTTATTCACTTATTTGAAAATAGATCTTTAGCCACGGTTCTCGGACTACTTTGCACCCAATCTGAAGACGCTGCGATCTTGCAATATGAGTTCGATTTCTAGGGAACGTCCGTGCCCTGGAGAAGCGGTTGCCGACACCCAGCACCCAGCCCTCAAAGACAGCCGCGCCTTGGCCTCAGGTCGGACCCTTAAGAGGAAGGGGCGGGGCTGCGCGCGCCACGCACGCGCAGACGGCCTCCGCCCGGGGAGTGGCCGCTCTAGGCTGCGGGGAGGTCGCGGGGTTGAGGGAGCTGGGAGACGGGGACGGCCTCGCCTCTATGGTCGCGGGCGCGGGGCGTCTTCCTTTACGGTTCCCGCTGCGTGACTTCCGGGAGCGCAGCGCCCGCCTGCTCTGCTTCCGCGGGGTCCAGGCTGGGGTCCACGGCGGGGCAGGCCCCGGACGGTCGCACTGGTAAAAGCAGCGGCGAGGGGGCTTGGGGAGGGCGGGAGGGAGGGGCGTCTTGTCCCGGCTCGATTTCGGGTGGGCTGTGGAGCACGGGAGCAGCAGGCGGCCCCGGAGGGCCCACGAGGGGTCCCGGGCTGTCGGTGGCCGTGCGGGGCGCGGACCCCCTCGGCTTGGCCAGCTCCCCGCAGCCCTCCCCGGGAGCTTTAGGTGGGCACTGCCGGCCCCCGGCTCGCCCTGCGTCCGTCGGAGCTGGGGTCAGAGCTCCAGGTGCCCCCGGGGCGGGGGAGCGTCGCTCGCACACGCCCGAGGGGGCGGACGGCGCGTGGGTGGGGCGGGGGTGACAGGTCGGGCGCCCCCAGACTCAGCTCGGGCTCTTACTGGCGGGGCGCGTTCCCGTCCCCCCGCCCCGCCCCCTAACGGCGCGGTCGCTCCCGTTTGCGCCAAAGGGAGACGCAAGAAAAAGGCCCAGAGTCGTCTGGGCTGGGACTCGGACCCGGTTCCAGAGCCGCGACTCGGAGCTTGGGCGGCTGGGAGCCCCAGGACGCGCTGTAGGTCGAGGCCGTGCAGCACCCAGAGTAGGGCCTGGCGTCTGGGAGGTGCGACGTCCAGTCCCCGCTCTGACTGGGACCGAAGCCTGCCGGGAAGGACCCGAGGCCCCGGGAGCCCGGCTGCGTCTGCGGCGGGCGGGCGGCCCGCAGCCTGGGTGAAGAGGGTGCTGTGCCCGGCCGCGGGCCCCTCCGGGTCGCCCTGCAGCCCCGCCCGCCCCGAGCCGCCGGTCGGTGCTCGGGGCCGGTCGGAGGACGTGCGCGCCCCGCGGGCCACACCCCGGGGCCGGCTCCTGTTCGGGGTGCGCGCGCCGCTGCGACCTTGTGTCCTGGCCCGAGTCTGTCTGGGACACTGCCAGCTTGGGTATGCTGGGACTGTTTTTCCCTCCCTCCGCATCATGTGAAGGACTCTCCAGGGCAGCTCTGCTGTTTCTCTTCGCAACTGTTGTGTTATTTTTGTCATTAAAGGTCCCGGTGTTTGGCCCTGACGCTGCTCCTCCCTAAATACGGCTGCTGAGAGCTCTGTTGTCAGCCCATTTACCAAACAGCAGGCTCTCCTGGAGTCCCTGTGGGCCCGAATTTGTTATATGGACCTCCCTCCGGGGCTGGAAAGAGTACTCGGCCTGCTGAATACAAGCTCGGGCCAGGTCCCATCCCCGAAAACAGAAATAAATCAGTATTCTCGGGGTGGAGAGAGTACAGAGGGGAAGGCCCTTGCTTGTGTGCTTGCTTTGTTCAGTCCAAAGCGTCCCATACGGTATGCCAAGCCCATCAGGAATGATCCCTGAGCACCACTGGGTGTGTCCCAAAAACCAAAATAATAAAATAGGGGCTGGAGCAATAGCACAGCAGGTCGGGCGTTTGCCTTGCACGTTGACAACCCAGGTTCGATTCCCAGCATCCCATATGGTCCCCCGAGCACCACCAGGAGTAATTCCTGAGTGCAGAGCTGGGAACAACCCCTGTGCATCGCCAGGTGTGACCCAAAAAGCAAAAAAATAAAAAGTAAAAAATCAATTTTAAGTGAAATTACCCTTCAAAATAGATGTTATTATCTGGAACTTAGAACATGAAAACTAGTAGGCTGGGGGCTAACTGACCTGAGACCGGGGTTTCAGACCACAAACTGTCCTGTCCCACTCTACCAGCCTCTCCAGGGAAATCCTGGCGGAGAGGAGCAGATGTTGACGGTCTGTGCAGGCATGGAAAGGGTTAATTAAGGTGTGGGGGGAGGGGCTCGTGATTAAAGGCTTCTGCCTCTCAGTTGACTGTGATCTTGTCACTTGAATGCTTGTGACTCAGTGATGGAGCTGGGTTACTGGAGAAGACCTGGGGAAAATGCCCCAGTAGGAGCAGAGGGTGGCATGTGGTCGGGCAGCAGCTGAGGGAGAATCATAGTCAGAGCAAGAAACGAGACGGTGCACTTTCTAGACGCCAGGCACTATTCTGGGTGCGTTACTGCCTTAGTTTACAGCAAATCATAATTTACCATTTTAATTTATAAAACCTCGGCCTCCTGCTTGCAAAGCACCAGCTCTGTCTGTTTTTTAAACTTTTTACTCCTTTATTTAGTTTTGGGTACACACCTGAATGCTCCTGCATTCAGGGATCACTCGGGATCACTCTTGTCAGTGCTCAGGGAAATGCTTCCAGGGATCGAACCCGGGTCAGTATGTGCAAGGCACACACCCTACCCATTGTACTATGGCTCCAGCCCCTGCTATATTAACCTATTAAGCCTGTCAGTACTGATAGCATTGATGTCTCTCTCTCTCTCTCTCTCTCTCTCTCTCTCTCTTCGATAAGGAACACTTCAGTTAGGTTAATCGCCTTCCCTGGGGTCAAATATCTAATAATTGTCAGGTGCTGTATGAATTTAATCATCCTGGCTGCAAAGTTTGTGCTCTGACTTAAAAACATCGTGTTGAGAAGCAAGAGAGATTGTGTAGTGGGAAAGGCACTTACTTGTCTTGCACGCATCTAACATAGGTTCAGTTCCTGGTACCGCTATCACCCCAATATGTGTGCCTGCATAAAGAAAGGTACCATGAAAGGCAACTCTTTGTTGGTTTTGATTTTTAGCGACAAACATCCAGACATCCAGAGTTCAACCTTTGTGCCAGCTGTTCTTAGATGCCTTCCAGAGAACTCTGTGGTTTTATTTCTGACTTCAGGGAATTCCGAATCAGGTTGGAGAGGCCAAGCCTCCTTCCGCCCTAGAGCACAAAACTTGAAAAAAACTTTGTTGGTTGTGGTTTTTTTTTTTTTTTTTGCTCTTTTGTTTTTTGGGTGGGTTTTTTTGTTGTTGTTGGGTGTTTTTTTTTTTTTCTTTTTGGGTTACACCCGGCGATGCACAGGGGTTACTCCTGGCTCTGCACTCAGGAATTACTCCTGGTGGTGCTCAGGGAACTATATGGGATGCTGAGAATCGAACCCGGGTCGGCCACATGCAAGGCAAATGCCCTGCCCACTGTGGTATCTCCCCAGCACTGAATGTTGGTTTCTAAGCTGTGATGCGACCAGCGTGATTTTAGCCACCAGGAGTAATTGTTTTTGCTCACTTTCCGAACGGTTGGACACAGGCAGCGTCAAGCGGACAGCAGATTGCGGAGTCTGTGCCACAGATCAGAAACGAGAGAGGACAGTTTCAGGAGAGCCAGGAGCGCCTTCTTGATGACTCCCGTCTTGCCTAATCCCCTTCCCAGGCAGTAAGTTACAGGTTTCAAAGATCAGGCACAAGTCGGTAGCCAGCAAGTAAAGCTGCCTTTGCCCTAGTGATTTCTGACCCTGTCCTGAAAGAAGACCTGGGTGCTTGCAATCGGAAAAACACCAGGGTGATTAATTAAGCAGGAGCCTGGCATGTGTCAGGTTTTTGCCCCCGCACACACTCAAGAAATGCCTGGATCAGGGGCCAAGGTGATAGTATAATGGGTAGGTTCCTTGCATTGCACGCAGTTGACCCAGGTTCGATCTCCAGCACCGCGTATGATCCCCTGAATACCACCAGGAGTGATTCCTGAGTGCAGAGCCAGGAGTAAACTCTGAGCATCGCCGGAGACCTAAAAACAGCCAAAAAGAAATATGCAGTTGGGCCTGAGCGATGGTATAGCGAGCAGGGCACTTGCCTTGCATGCCACCCACGTGGGTTCCATCCCTGTCTTCCCATAGGGTCCCTTGAGCACTGCCAGGAGTAATTTCTAAGTGCAAAGCCAGGAGTAACCCCTGAGCATCCCTGGGTGTGGCCCCAAAACAAAACAAAATTTAAAAAATGCACAGATTAGACCCACCATTTTGAACTCAGCAGACGTCTTTGCACATTTCATTTCAGTGTTCCAAGTGTGTGAGGACTCTGGTCATTTCATGTCTGTGGATGTTGGCAGTGTTCACGGTGGTTGTCACCTCAGGTGTACTTTGGCCTGCCAGAAATAGAGAGTGCCCAGACCCTTTACCTACTTATTCCTGTTGGGAATGTTTTGCTTCTCTCTCATGAAACAGCGGCCTGCACACCCTCCCAGCCTCAGGCAGGAACTTGTGTTCCACTGAAAAGCATCATTGTCCATTTCTGGTTCCTTTTCGCAAGGGTGGATTTCTCAGTTTTGCAGAAATGAGTGGTCCTTCAAAAAGTGGAGTGTGAGCACAGGCTTGAAATTAGTCCATAACTTTTTGGTTTTGGGGCCACACTCAGCGCAGCTTGGGACTTACTCCTGGCTCTGTGCTCAGGGATCACTTCCCCGTGGGCTCGAGAGACCATATGGAGTGCCGGGGATCAAACCTGGGTCAGTTGTGTGCAAGGCAAGCACCCTACCCTCTGTGTTCCAGCCCCAAGGTCATGATTTAAAATTGGGTGCTAGGGGCCAGAAAAAGTACAGTGGGTACAATACTTTCCTTACATGAGACCAATCCAGGTTCGATCCCCAGCACCCCGTCAGGAATGATTCCCTGAGCACAAAGCCAATAGTAAACTCTGAGAACTGGGTGTGCCTCCTTCTGAAGAAAGGAAATTGAGACCGGGGCGATAGCATACTACAGGGAGGGCGTTTACATTGCACGCTGTTGACCAGATTCGATCCCCGGCATCCATGTGATCCCCCGAGCACTGCTGGTGTAATTCCTGAATGCAGAGCCAGGAGTAACTCCTGAGCATCGCCAGATGATACCCAAAAATAAAAAAGAAAATAAATAGAAGTAACATCGCATTACAACATTACCATAAGTTTCAGATGTGTGTTACTGAAAATCAGTATGTGGATAGGCTAAATTTGCAAATACTGTAGCACTGTCCTCCCATTGTTCATCGATTTGCTGGAGCGGGTCCATTAGTGTCTCCATTGTGAGACTTGTTACTGTGTTTGGCATATCGAATACATCACAGGGAGTTTGCCAGGCTTTGTTGTGCGGGCAAGATACTCTCGGTAGCTTGCTGGGCTCTCCGAGAGGGGTGGAGGAATTGAACTCAGGTCTGCCACGTCGTCTGTTTACAAGGCAAACACCCTACCGCTGTGCTGTCGCTCCAGCCCAAATACAAAAATTTTTTTTTTCTTTTTGGGTCATACCCAGCTATGCACGGGGGTTTCTCCTGGCTCTGCACTCAGGAATTACTCCTGGTGGTGCTCAGGGACTATATGGGATGCTGGGAATCAAACTCGGGTCGGTCGCATGCAAGGCACACACCTTGCCCATTGTGCTATCGCTCCAGTCCCCACAAATACAAAAATTCCTAAGCTGAGAATTAATGCATTCTTTGATAACCTCATTTTCAAAACCTGGCCTTAATTGGCTTTCCTAAACATTGATTGGGTGCCAGGAGAGCTCCAGGTTATTGGCGTGTCTCTTCCTGCTGCCAGTAGCTCTGGGGATGGATTTGTAGATAGCCGACTCTGCAGGTTTGACAAATGGCTTTCCTTCCAAGCAAGGAGCAGCCACTTTGGTGTTGGTTCTGGAATTACAAAGAACTCTTTAAAGACTCTGTGTCCCCACCCACTTATCTCCCCCACCCCAGACGTGTTTCAGACAGTGACACAAATGGGGTAGGTATTTCTTTGGGAAACCAGAAAAGCTCCTAGTGGTAGCTAATCTGGAACTGCTCATTATCAGAGGCTGATAATTCTTTCCTATCAACTGACCCAACCCATGAACATTGCATGCAGGAGGCCCAGGTGGATCCTGGCACCAGCAGGAGCAACCCCGGCCAGGTGTGAGCCAGAAAGAAAATAAAAGATAATCATTGGTGAGCTGTTGGAATCCACTTTTGACTATGTGACATGGACATGAAAACATCACCACTCTTAGTGATACCCACCTGTCCAGGGGACTCCATTGATGGAATAAGTACCTGGATCAAAGTCTAGGTTTTTTTGTTTGTTTGTTTTTTGGTTTGGTTTTGGTCAACCTGGCAGTGCTCAGAGGATACTTCTAGCTCTGCACTTAGAAATTACTCCTGGCTCTTCTCGGGGGGACCCTATGGAATGTCAGGGATTGAATCTGGCCCACACTTGCAAAAGACTAGAGCCTTACGAATGCTTCCCATAACCCCATGAGGTCAGTCTTAGGGATCCATTTCTTATCTCTGCTGATGTGGAACTCCAAGATAATGGATAGTGTTGCTCCTCCATATCCTAGGGGAGTCATTCCAAGACCCCTGTATAGTTTTCCTATATTTGCATACCTATGGGAAAACGATTTATAAATTGGACAGGGAAAGAGAGTAACAAGAACATAAGTAGAATGGTGTGACAGAATACATTGCAATAAAAGGTTTGTGCTGTCAAGGTACTCCATGTACTGTTTTCAGAGAGAGTTGACTAGCGGTGAATAAAATTGAGAAAAGCAAAATTCTGGACACGGCGGTGGACTGGCTCTCAGTTTGTCCGCGAGCCTTGGCTCAAATGGTGAAGTTAGGGTTCAGAACCTGTCTTCAGATTATTGTTTTGTTTTCCTGTGGCCACACCCAGCGGTGCTCAGAGCTTACTCCTGGCTTTGTGCTCAGGGATCTCTCATGGTGGGGCTCAGGGGCATATGAGGTACTGGCGATCAAACCCTGGTCAGCCACATGCAAGGGAAGCATCCTACCCGCTGTTCTATTTTTCTGGACCCCCCCTTTGATAACTCACACCCATTCAAAAGACTTTAGAAGGGGGCTGGAGCGATAGCACAGCAGGGAGGGCATTTGCCTTACACACGGCCGACCCGGGTTCGATTCCCAGCATCCCATATGGTCCGCTGAGCACTGCCAGGAGTAATTTCTGAGTGCAAAGCCAGGAGTAATCCCTGTGCATCACCGGGTGTGACCCAAAAAGAAAAAAACCAATCCTTGACTGGTATGACATTAACTTTAAACACCAATTAAAGAATACACTCGATTTCTCTTCCTTCCCCCGCCCCCCCAGGTTTAATGATGCTTTGCAGCAATTTTCTCAGTCTGAAAATCTCCGGGTTTGTGGGTCCCAGATTTTGCTGAGATGGAGGAGGATGCCCTGAGCCCTGTGGTCCGTGAGGAGGAGCGCCAGCCCAGAAACACCAGCCCCCAGATCTCCATCAGCGAGTTTTCTTGTCACTGCTGCTATGACATCCTGGTCAACCCCACCACCCTGAACTGTGGGCACAGTTTCTGCCGGCACTGCCTCGCCTTATGGTGGGTCTCGTCCAAGAAAACCGAGTGTCCGGAGTGCAGAGAGAAGTGGGAAGGCTTCCCCAAGGTCAACATTCTTCTCAGGTATCACGTGGCCCAGCCCAGGGGCGGCAGCACGCGTAACGGGTTGATTTCTTTTTCTTTGCTTTTTTTTTTTTGGGTCACACCCGGTGATGCACAGGGGTTACTCCTGGCTCATGCACTCAGGAATCACTCCTGACAGTGCTCGGGGGACCATATGGGATGCTGGGAATTGAACCCGGGTTGGCTGTGTGCAAGGCAAATGCCCTACCCGCTGTGCTGTTGCTCCAGCCCCTTCTTTTTCTTTTCTTTTTTTCTTTCTTTTTTTTTTTCTTTTGGGTCATGCCCAGTGATGCACAGGGGTTCTGCTTTCAGAAATTACACCTGGCAGTGCTCGGGGAACCCAATGGGATGCTGGGAATCGAACCCTGATCAGCCGCATGCAAGGCAAACGCCCTCCCCACTGTGCTATCGCTCCAGCCCCAGGTTTGTTGTTTTTTTTTTTTTTTTTTTTTTGATGAGCTGTCAGGGATGGAACCCAGGACCTTGCACTTGGCGTGGCAAGTTCTCTGCCTCTGAGCCATACCCGCCCCCCACTCTTTTAAGGCTTTTTTTTTTTAGGAGGGGGGCGCACACCCACACCCAGCAGTGCTCAGGGTCGATTCCTCCTGGTGGTGCTCGTGGGATCCTGCAGTGCTGGGGACTGAACCGCGGCCTCCTGCAGGTAAAACATGCACTCCAGCCCGTTGGAAATGCTTACGCGTATTTATGGGCCAGTAAGAAGTGCAGGAATTTATCAGTATTTTATTCTCCATATGTTTCCAGCATTTATGCTGTTCATTCAATACTTGTCTATGTCTTGGATCTTGATGACCAATAAATTCTTTTTTAAAACTATGTAACATTCCACTGTGTGAATTACTGTGGTTTTCTTTAGCTGTTTTTTTAGGGATATGGAACCCTGTGTGATGCCGGGGATCAAACCTGAGTAGGTCACATTGCATGGTCCTGTCTTGAATTTTTCAGTTAGCACAGGATCGTGGCTGATCTTCATTCCTCCAGAGTATTTGTGTATTATGAAATATTGACCCCTGGGACTGGAGCGAGAGTGCACTGGGTAAGGCGCTCGCCTTGTACACAGTTCACCTGAGTTCGATCCCAACATGCTGTATGATTATATTACATCCACCCAGAAGTAACCCCTGAGCGCTGCCAGGCATGGCCCCCAAACCAAAATAAATATTGCCCACTCACTCTACTTTCAGTCTCTGACCAGTAGCTTTGCTCCGACACCAGCCTTGAGACACTGCTGCCTCTGTTCTCCCTAGGGATGCCGTGGAGAAGTTATTCCCTGATGCCATTCGAATGCGACTGGAAGACATCCAGCAGAACCAGGACATGGTCCAGTGTCTGGCGGCCTTTCAGAAATACGGGAACGATCAGCTCTCCCTGGCCCCCAGCGTCGGTCGCGGCCATCAGCAGAGAGGAGGGGGCTTCTTTTCCGGAGTGCTCACAGCACTCACGGGAGTGGCAGTAAGTGTGTGGTGGTGGGATCCCTCCTCCCCCGGGTGTCCGTGAGGTCACTATAGAGGTGTACCTTAGTGATCAGTGACCTCAGTGTGTGGTAATTCACTTCTAACTCTGAAGTTCACCAGTTGTGTGATTCTTGTGTGGGTACACCTGGCTGTGCTGAGAGCTAACTCCTGGCCCTACACTCAGGGGGCCATATGGATGCAGAGGCTCGAACCCACGTCGGCCACGTGCAAGGCAAATACCCTGCCCTATGCCTTATTGCTCCAGCCCCAGCGAGTTGCATGATTCTGTGGTTGTGGATGTGGAGGCCACAGGGTCAGAGCCCTGTAGATGTCAGTTTCATCCCTTTCTGTCGCAGAGATTCGAGAACAGACAGAAGGATGATACAGCTGAAATCTGAGATCCTGTAAGCCTGGCCAAGAGCTTCCTGAGCCAAGCACTGAGTACTTGCCATGCAGAACGGCTATTCTTGGGGCCGGAACAATAGTACAGCGGGGAGGGCATGCACACGGCTGACCTGGGGTCGAGTTCCAGCATCCCATATAGTCCCCTGAGAATCACCAAGTGACCCAAAAACAAAACAAAACAGAACAGCTTTTCTTTGCCAGCTCCGTGCTGTGATTGCTAATCATTACCAATTTCCCAAGAGAGATGGCGAGAATCAGTTATGTTGGCCAAGTGGACAGGCTTAAGGATGCACACGATTCCTCGCATCTCCGTCTGTTCCGCAGAGGGGTGAGGCTTTGTGTTCCCGGGCTCCCCAGTGGTGGGTTTGCCCTGCCCCTATGTACAGACTGCACGTGGGGCCCTTTCAGCTCAGCCTCCTCCTTTCCCCACTCCTGGATCTCGACCTGGCGTCTCCATCCCTTCTATACCCTGAGGTCCGCGTCACTTTTCCCCAGGTGGTCCTGCTCGTGTATCACTGGAGCAGAAGAGAGTCCGAGCATGACCTCCTGGTGCACAAGGCCGTGACCAAATGGACAGCGGAGGACGTTGTCCTCTGGCTAGAGCAGCTGGGCCCATGGACCGCCCTCTACAGAGACCGGTTCTTGTCCCAGAGAGTCAATGGAAGGTAAGGAGCAGGGTGTCACCTCGGCAGCCTTGCTGAAGTAGACTCTAGCTACCGTAAAACCCACCCAGGTGGAGCAGAGCCCTGGCTCCAAAGGTGAGTGTGTAGAGGCCTGGGTCCAGTCTCACAAGGCCAAGAGCACTGGGCCTAGAGTAGCCCCTGAGCATCACCACGTGTAACCCCAAAAGACAGACAACTTCACTCATAAGATATGTAGTCAGTGGGTAGAGGGTTTCCCTTGCATGCAGCTGACCTGGGTTCTATCCCTGTCATCCCATATGGTCCCCTGAGCACCGCCAGGAGTAATTCCTGAGTGCATGAGCCAGGATAACCCCTGTGCATCGCCAGGTGTGACCCAAAAAGCAGAAGGGGGAAAAAAAGTGTAGTCAGTGGGTCTGAGGTTTTTTTTGGTTGGGGGGGTCTTTTTTGAGGGGGCTTTGTTTTTCCCTATTTGGGGGCCACATCCGGTGATGCCAGGGTTCCTCCTGGCTCTATGTTCAGGGGTCTCTGTCCGTGTTAGGGGACAAGGCACATGCTCAGCCCTTTGCTTCTCATATGTGTTCAGTCATCTGAACAAGTCTGGCCTGACAGATGTCTGTCCCCCCAAAAAACTGAGAAGTCTTTGCTTCAGCTGCCAGTTCTCATTGCCCTCTGCCCTCAGCACCTGCCGTTGCTTTCGTCCCTGTGCATCGGCCTCCCAGAGTGTTTAGCAGAAGTAGAACCATCCGAGACCCGTGATCTTTAATAACGGTCTGTTTTCACCAACCATTCTTTATAGGGGTGCCAGTCTTTGACCCCAGGCCACATGCATGCGGGTACTTTTTCACAGAGCTGCACCCCTGATGGCCTAGTGTAATTTTCTTTTCTTTTTTTTTCTCTTGGGGTCACACCCGGCAATGTTCAGGGGATGCTCCAGGCTCTGCACTCAGAAACTGCTCCTGAGAAATGTCCGGGGACCACATGGGATGCCGGGGATCCAACCCGGGTTGGCTGCATGCAAGGCAAACACCCTCCCTACTGGACGATCGCTTCGGCCCCTGTTGATCCAAGTTGTGCTAGCTTCATTGCTACACCTGAATAATAGTCTATTACATGGATAAACCAGTTTTACGCATCCGTTGTCAGTTGATAGGCATTTAGGTTGAGCCCACTTTCGGGCTATTACGAATCATGCTGCTGTGACCCTTTGTGTATCAGGTTCTCTTGGGCATCTATTTCTAATACTCTTTTGCAGTGGAATTATTAGGTTAGAAAGTAATTTTGTAACTTTTTTTTAATTGTCAAACTCTTTGCCAAAGCAGTCATAGTAGTTTTATGTCATTGACACTTTTCATTTGTTGTTTTCTGGTTACTAAATAATAAATATTGTTCATTTTCAAATGATAGGAGAGAGGGATTCAATTTGTTCGTGGAAATGGCTCTAGAAGTTGAGTGGTGGGTGTGGTGAGTCTTAGACACATAGTGACAGGTCACGCTGTACTCCTAAAATCATTCAGTGTTGTAAACTCAACAAGTCAATCAAATTATGGGGGGGGAACCAGCAACGCACCGCCTACACCAGAATGGAAATGTAAAGCCCTTGTAATTCTACTCTTTTTTTAATACTTTTTAAATTTGGGGGGGGGGGGCGACACCTGGCAGTGCCTGCTCTACACTCAGATCACTCCTGGCAGACTCTGGGGGCCATATGTGGTATTGGGGACCAAACCCAGGTCAGCCACATATCAGGCAAGCACCCTACCTGCTGTGTATTTACTAAATAAAATATGAAAGGGCCAAGCGCGTGGTGGCTCATCATCATAGGTTCTGGTAACAAAACAAAACTGAGAGTTGGTTGTCCAGATTGAGTTTGTGGCAGATGATCTTGGGAATCAAAACTAGAAACTAGGGAATGCTTTCTCCACCTCTGACCTGACTGAGGGCTCTCAGGGTAGCTGAGCCCTTTTACACAAAGTTCTGCTCAGTTTGTCAAGCGCAAATTCACCAATAGACACAACTCTGATTCCAAAATTCCTCACTTTTGTCCTGGCTCAAAACCCGATGCCCATTAGGTATAGAACTTAGCTCTGCCTGTCCCACAGGGGGCATAGCTCCTTGTTCCCTGAACTCTCCTATTTGTCGGCGAGCCTCTGGATGAGGAACGGAGTCGGGGATTGGTGATGCCTTTACCTTCACTGTCAGAGAATCTTCCAGACAACCATGAAAACCTGATATGCTGCTTGTAAGGTTCACGTGAGCAAACTCCCTTTCTACCTGGAGATTCAAATCTTATTCCCTTTCATCAAGATTTATTCTATAAGGACTCTGGGTGGGAGACGGTGACTGGATCAGGGCAGGGAATATCCAAGGCGGCATTCCCTGCCGTGTTTGGTTATGGTGAATCTACTGACTGGTGCTCTGAAACTCCACACTGGGGAGAAGGGCTCCAGCTGGGAACATCCCCTGAATTTGCGGGGCCTGGAGCTGTCCCCACTGCAAGTTTCCCAAATTGGGGTCAGCAGCTGCGTCAAATTGAAGTGACGCTCTCTGGCCCAACGGTTTCTCTTACGGCATCGTGCACAAGGTCCAGGTGGTGTTCTCATAGTGGCATGGTTGGGCGGCACCCTGCAATCCTTATGAAAGCGGCCTGGTTTCCCACAATTAAATGATCTTTTCTGAGCTTGTCTCTGTACTGCATAGGCCTCCACAGCATTAATATGTGCCTGATGTTTGACAGAACCAACATTCCGACAGGCCTTCAAGTGCCCCTTTCTGTCCTCCTCCTTAATGGGTTGCAGAATGGCCTGGCAGTCCTCATTAGCATTTTCAAAGGCCAATTGTTTGGAGTTTGAGCCCCCTGAACAATCTTTGTATAGCTTTCCTTAAATTCAGCATCTGCATCAATCTTCTCCCAGGCCCACAGGTCAGCATCACGAACACGTGCAAAAACAGCACGAGGAGAGCGAGGCTTTTTAGGGTCTGCCATTTCCCTTCACCTATTAACATCTCATAAGTCAGTGTAATCCCTGAAAATTCCCGTCCAGCATGGCCTGGGCTCTGAAGTTTTGCTTTGGCCTCATCACTGAACCACTTCCTCCACTGCATGTACTGAGAAGGGCTTAAGCATGTCTTAGCGACCACGTGAAAATCTTGAGGTACCCAGTGAGCCTTTTTACTCCAGCCTGTAAGATACTCCCTGCAGTATGGAGATGTAGGTCTGTACGAGGCACAGACCTTTTTGAAATGACTGAGTGGATCCACTCTTAACCCTTCATAAGACAGAAACTGATTGTCCTCCAGCTGGGTGGGAAAAAGGAGATGGAGCTCATGGGGTCTGGGTGGGATTGACCATTTGCGGTGAGAGGTCTCGGCTCTAAACTTCTATCAGGAGCGTATCCTGAGCCCCCTGGAGGCGGCTTGGCTGAGGAGCGGCGGCTCCTGTGAGAAGCCTTCTCTGCCACCCGCTCTCAGTCTCAGAATCTGAAGTAGTGGCTGGCTCATCATGCACATCACTTTCCTCTGATGCACTGGAAGTGGAGTCATACAGAAGAGGTGGGGGTCTCTCTGGCTTGACACCAATAAGGAACATTAATTCGCCAGCATCAGAGAGATTTTTACTTTGAAAACGTGTTTCCACTGGAAGCGCGTTGAGCTGCTTTTGGGGCTTGGGTATGGGAATAGCCAGCATTGGGCATCCGGGTTCTTTCTAGGCTTGGGCATGGGAGGGGCCGAGGGCATGGCTCTCTCCGTAGTAGGAACTTCATTTCTTTGCTTTTTTTTTAACTTTTATTTGGGCTGAAGCCATAGCACGGCGGTAGGGCATTTGCCTTGGACACTGCCGATCTGGCAGACCCAAGTTCGATTCCTCCGCCCCTCTTGGAGATACCGAGAATATCTCGCCTGCACGGCAAAGCCTGGCAAGCTCCCCGTGACGTATTCGATATGCCGAACACAGTAACAACAAGTCTCACAATGGAGATGTTACTGGGCCCGCTCAAGCAAATCGATGAACAGTGGGAGGACAGTGCTACAGTGCTACTTATATTTATTTATTTAAATTTTTATTAGTGAAACACCATGAGGTACAGTTGTAGACTTACAAATTTTTGTGCTTGGGTTTCAGTTATACAATGATCGAGTACCCATCTCTCCACCAGTGCCCATTCTCCACCACCAATGATCCCAATATCCCACCCACCCCCATACCACCCTGCCTCTGTGGCAGGGCATTCTCTTTTGTTCTCTCTCTCCTTTTGGGTGCTGTGGTTTGCAAAAGAGGCATTGAGTGGGAATCTTGAGGAATTTCATTTCATCCTTAATCTTAAGATCCTCTCTGTTTAACTCCTGAGGAAAGCCTCCCATAGTATACCGAACAGCCTCCTCCTCAGAGGTACCTTCCAAAGCCTTAAGAATGGAGTTAACTTCCCAAGTTACCCAGAATTGTTGGGGGATCTGAGCCTCTTTAAATTCCCTGAAGACATTATCCTTAATCCTTTCCCAAACCTTAGGCTCCAAAGTACTGTTATCTGGGAACCAAGGATGAAATTTGTAGACAGTTTTTAGGCAGGACCAGAGTTGGTCCCAAGAAACACGATGTCAAGTTCTCTGTGCAAAATGCTTAATCAATTCAATAAAAAACTTGTCACGTTCAGTTTGGCACAGAAGGGCTTGATGAGGCACTGTTTTTGTCCCATCTTAGTAGGGGAGTACGGCTAGTATTCTAAGTCACTGCACCACAAAATCCTGTTCTCCCACTCGCTTTCTAGAGTGGGGGGTCTACCGAACGCTGTGATTTCCTTTAGCTGCGCACCGGTTGGAGGTTCAGGCACATGCAGGGACGCCAGATGTGTATTTACTAAATAAAATGCGAAAGGGTTGTGCATGTGGCGGCGCTCTCTCCCTGCCGCCGTGTTCAGTAGTCTCATGCCGCTTCCCCCACCCCGGGGAGGTCGATGGTGACAGGCAGGCGAAGGAGGAAACAGGGCCCAGGGTGGTTGGCGTCACTTGCAGTTCCTTCCATTCCCATCTCCATTCTCTCCTGACTCTTCTCCTGCTTCTTCCTCCTCCATGCTTACTTCATTCTCCTTCTGGCTCCCCCAACCCCCTCTTACAGCCTAGTTAAATCCCCCAGCATGAGGGGTTGGGGCTTACACATAGGTGCGGTCACAGCCAATGGGGGTAAAGTCCTTCCCTCAGGAGAAGCTTCTAGGACAGATTCTCATTCAGTAAGACTACTCGCCTAAGAGCAGGATCCCAAGGGTGTGTTTCTCCTCTTCTTGTCCAACAAACATATAAACATTCATAACATTAATCATTTTGTATGAACACAGTAAGAGATACATTAAGCTTATAGGATTGTTATCCTACACCCACTGTACCACCCCTCTGGCCCCAGCTTTTAGAATTTTAGTCTGTGTCCCTAAACTACCCAGGAGAAGATGTCTCTGGACTCTCCTCCTCAGTGTACCTGTGTGTCCCTTAGGTCTCCTTTCAGTAGCATCTCACTGTACGGGTGGATTCATGGGGTTTTGTTTGTTTTCTTTTTTTTTGTTTGTTGTGTAAACTCACACAAAAGAGGGGGGCGCGGCACACAGCAGGGGTGGTGGCTCCATCTCTCCCACCGCCAGCACAGCGTTCTGTAGTCTCACCCTTCTCCCACCCTGGGGAGGTCGCTGGCGATGGTCAGGCGGAGCAAGGAACTGAGGGCCAGGCTGGTAGGTATTAGTAGCAGTTTATTCTAATCCTCTCTTCATCTCTGTCTCTGCTCCCCTCTGCCCTATCTACAGTCTCATTATATCTCTCTCCAAGAGGAATTGGGGGAACAATTACACATAGGAGCGGTCACAATCAATAGGGGTAGAAATCTTAGCCTCAGGGAAAGCCGCTCCTAAGACAGATCCTTTCTCAGCAGGAGGACCCACCCTAGAGCGGAATCCCAAGGGTGTGTCTCTCCTCTCCTTGTCCGACAAACATGTAAGCATATATAATATAAATCATTTTGTATGGATACAGTAAGAAATATCTTAAACTTACAGAATTGCTCTCCTAGGGCCATCTCGATCTCAGACTACAGTGCTCAGGCCAGATAGTCTTTCTCACCCCTAGCAGGATCCTAGTCTCGTCGTTACCTTTGGATCATGACAGCATTTGTCTATGATCAAACTCTTAACTTATAGTTAAGAATCGTGGCACTTTGGCCTGGCCCATTTCGATGCCAGGGTAGCTCGCCGCTTGCCCTGGGTCCATTCAGTCCCTCGTCGGGATCCTGCTTTTGGGGTGTTAGGAACTAAGGGCAACTGAGGCTTAAGTCAAGGAAGCAGATGCCTGGGAGTGAATAATATTCAAGGCCAATCAAATCCTAAGTTACAAAGCATGATGTTAACAGTCTTCCTGTATCTATACAAAAAGATACTGCTTTAAAGTAAACTGTTCATAAGGCATAAGGAGAGGAGAAAGGCAATATTTCACTCATAATATCATAGATTTCTGGGAAACTGATCTTACAAATTAGCAGAGTCTGATTAAGGGGAGAGCTGATTAACTGGGTGGGGAAGAGAGCATAAGGAAGACTTTACAGATAAACACAATGGAAGTGGAAGTGCCTCAGGAGCACTGTGATGGGTGTAACCAGATAAACCTAAGCTTCTTGTGGAAGGACAAAGCAAAGTTATCCTACAGTTTGTTTTTTGTTTTTTGCTTTTTTGGGTCACACCCAGCGATGCACAGGGTTACTCCTGGCTCTGCACTCAGGAACTACCCCTGGCGGTGCTCAGGGGACCATATGGCATGCTGGGAATCGAACCCGTGTCGGCTGTGTGCAAGGCAAACACCCTACCCGCAGTGCTATCGCTCCAGCCCCGGGGTTTTGTTTTCTTGTGTTTGGGCTCCATCCAGCGATGTTTAGGGGCTACTTCTGGCTCGGCACTCAGAAATTACTCGGGGAACCCTATGGGATGTTGGAGATCAAACCCAGGTTGGCCACATACAAGGCAGATACAGCCTCTTAAGAATGGAGGGTTGAGGGGGCTGGGGCAGTAGTACAGCAGGCAGGGCGTTTGCCTTGTACACGGCCAACCTGGTTCGATTCCCAGTATCCCATATGGTCCCCTGAGCACCGCCAGGGGTAAGTACTGAGATCAGAGCCAGGAGTAACCCCTGTGCATTGCTGGAAGAAGCTTGTGACCTAACAACGAGAAAAAAGAAAAAAAGAATGCAGGGTGGAGTTATTTCTGTTCTTGTGGGATGAACCTTACCTTGTGTACACCACTCCAGCCCAGCAAGTCGCTTTATTTCTCTGAACCAGTTTCCTCAAGCTACAAAAATGGTTCTTGGGCCACTGACTCTGCTGAACTCTAGAGCAGTGATGATTTATAAAAGCTTCTTCAGAGAGTTCCTGGCAAAGAGTAAGTGTTCAGTCTGCTGGCTTCTCAGCACTAGTCCATACGTTGAGTCGAACCTCTAGCCTAAAGCATTTGTGTGATTACGGCAGAGCTCAGGAGGTTTGCTTTCTGGAGTTGGAACAATAGCCTAGCATGGAGGGCATTTTCCTTGCATGTAGTCAACCCAGGTTCAATCCCCAGCACTCCATGTGGTTCCCTGAGCCCTGCCAGGAGTAATTCCTAGATGCAGGGTCAGGAGGAATTCCCTGGGTATCACCAAGTATGACCCAAAAACAAACCAAAAGAAATCACTTCCTATCCATAACCTCCAAAGAAGCCTGTCCCTGCCGCCTACAGATTGCTTCTCACGTTGACAGAGGAGGAGTTTTCTAGGGCCCCATACACTGTGGAGAACAGCCACCGGAGAGCCATCCTCATGGAGCTGGAGCGCGTGAAGGCGCTGGGCGTGAAGCCCCCACAGAACCTCTGGGAGTATAAGGTGAGAAACTCTGTTTCCGGGAAGAAGCTGAGCCATCCTCAACTGACTCCGGCTCCAGCCAGCACCCCAGGCTGAACTCAGACCAGACTGCGTGTCCTTCCTGGGCTCCAGTTCCCCTTTTTGGCCCAGGGCCGGGGACCCGCCAGCGTGGGATCTCGTGGCATTCTTCCGTTACTCCGTTGGTTGGTTTTTATGCCAAACCCAGCGATGCTCAGGGGTGACTCCTGTCTCTACTCTCAGGAATTACTCCTGGTGGTGCTCAGGGAGACCTGTGGGGTGCTGCAGATCAAGCTTGGGTCAGCCACGTGCAAGGCAAATGCCCTCCCCAATGTGCTATCACTCTGGTCCCCTGGATGGCTGTTTTTCTTTTCTTTCTTTCTTTTTTTTTTTTTTAAAGAAAAGAGGCACTGGGGGCTGGAGCGATAGTACAGCAGGGAGGGCATTTGCCTTGCACGGCATCCCATAGGGTCCCCCAAGCACCACCAGGAGTAATTCCTAAGTGCAGAGCCAGGAGTAACCTCTGTGCATCACCAGTGTGACCCAAAAAGCATAAAAAAGAAAAGAGCACTGGTGTGTTTTTGTGGGCTGGAAATTGGTTCCGTCCCTCCAGAGAGCAGTTTGTCAATGATCAGAAAATCTCCCAGGCCCCTTTTCAGGCTGCCATCTCGCTGCTTTGCCCCTCACTTCGCTGGGGCAGCCAGCTGGCCTGGTGAGCAGGAGCAACCTACGGCCATGGGGACATGGGAGAGTACCCGGGTCTCAGCGCCCGCCTCCCCCAGTCTGAATGCACATCGAACGCTGAGCCACCACCGTCGTTAGGCAAGGGTTCGCTGTGGCAACCTATGCTCAGGAATCAACCAATGATTCCACACGCACAGGACAGTCTGCATAAACACGGCACACCCATCCATGTGGCTACTATTACGGACAGTGACAGCGCTGCCCTCTCCCAGGGCAGGATGCCCAAGTTTCTCTTTTCTTTTGTTCTCTTTTTCTTGGGATGCCCAAGTTTCTTGTGAGTGGCAAGTGACTGGACAGAACACCAGGGAGCTGACCAGAAGGGCCAGCGCGCACATGTGGCTCATCTGGTGTAACATACGTGCTGCTGGATCCTTTTGTTCGAGCTCTGTCTTTGTGTCAAGTCACCCACTTTCACAAGTTGGATTTCTTGGGCACCAAAGCGATAGTATAGCAGATGAGGTGCTTGTCTTGCACGCCTCCCTCCATATGGTCCCCTGAGCACCGTCAGGAGTGATTTCTGAGTGTAGAGCCAGGGGTTATCCCTGAATATTTCCAGTGGGGCCAAAAAAAAAAAAGAAAGAAATGTTAGATTTTGGGCCGGGGCAGTAGTGTAGCGGGGAGGGCGTTTGCCTTGCACGTGGCTGCTGACCCGGGTTCAATCTTCAGCATCCCATATTGTCCCCTAAGCGCTGCCAGGAATGATTCCTGGGTGCAGGGCCAGAAGGAACCCCTGAGCATTGCTGGGTATGACCCAAAAAGAAAGTCAGGTCGTGTGTGTGTGTGTGTGTGTGTGTGTGTGTGTGTGTGTGTGTGTGTTAAAAGGTGGGGGACCAGAGCTGTTCTAGTGCAGCAGAGAGGGCCTTTGCCTTGCATGCGGCAGATCCAGGTTCAGTCCCCAGCACCACAAATGGCCCCCAAACTCCGCCAGGAATGATTCCTGAGCATAGAGCCAGGAGTAAGCCCTGAGCATCACCGGGTATGGCCCCCCAAAAAACAGACCCCCCAAAAATATTTTCTGATAATGAGGGGCTACAGAGCCAGTGCAAGGGCTTGCATGGTGCCAGTCCCAACCTCATGTCCAGGCTGCTTGGTCCCCAGAGCTCCCCTAGGAGTGGCCCAACCCTCCCACCAGAACGAAGTTTCTCTGATACACTGCAAAATTGCTTTCCGGTGTGATCACTTACCCCACCCCTACCCCCATCACTAGAAACTTGCCTTCATGTAGTTTGACTCAGTGGATCGTTCAGCTTCTCTTGCCCTTCACCCGTGCACTATTGGTAGCAGCCGAGCACAGCGGCAGGTCAGCGCTTAGAGCAGCTGCTGCTGCCGTGGTGACGTGGTGTGGCATGGCCCTGCAGGCGGTGAACCCAGGCAGGTCCCTGTTCCTGCTCTACGCCCTGAAGAGCTCCCCCAGGCTGGGCCTGCTGTACCTCTACCTGTTCGACTACACGGACACCTTCCTGCCCTTCATCCACACCATCTGCCCTCTGCAGGAAGACAGCTCTGGCAAGGACCTCGTCACCAAGCTGCTGGTAGGTCTCTGGAGGGCCTGTGACACAAACTGGCCCCCGCTGGGCTTTTTGTCTTGTCTTGAGTTTTGGGGGTCTTGTTTTTTATTTTGGAACCATAGCCGGCGATGCTCAGGGGTTCCTCCTGGCTCTGCACTCAGGAATCACTCCTGATGGTGCTCAGGGGATCCTCGGGGATGACAGTGATGGAACTCAGGTCGCCGCGTGCAAGGCAAACGCCCCCCCCCCCCCCCCCCCCCGCCATACCATTGCTGCAGCCCCATGTATGGACTTTTCCAATGTCAGAAAACAAAGTAGGTGCCTCCCACTCAAAAGGCCCCTTAACCAACCCCCCCCCCCCCCACTCCCACCCCTGCCTCCTAATTACTTCTGGACTTGAAATCTTTAGGAAAATGGAAAAACAGCGTTGTTTTTGATATAACAGTTCACACAGCTCAGGTTGCCCGCAGACGGGGTTTCTGGGAAGCATCTGTCTGGTGGAGATAAGGATCTCCTAGCAAGATACCCAAAGCGTTTTTCCTGACACAGCAGAGTTAATATCAACCAGCTTCAAAGAACCAAGAGATAGTACAGCAGGGAGGGCGCTTGCCTTGTACACATTGTCCCAGATTCAATCCCTACTACCCCGTGGGGTCCCCCAAGCCCACCAGGAGTGATCCCTAAGCTCAGCTGGGTGCGGCCTCCCTTCAAAGAAAATGTGACCGTCAAGAAAGCAGACTGGCCACAGAGGTGGGGGAAAAGGGTCGGGGGGGGGGTGGGAGGAATACTGGGATCACTGGTGGTGGAGAATGGGCACTGGTGGAGGGATGGGTACTCGATCACTGTATGACTAAAACATAAGCGTGAAAGTTTGTAAGTCTGTAACTGTACCTCATGACGATTCATTTAAAAGTTGAAAAAACATTTTTTTAATGATTAAAAAGAGCAGACTGGGGAGTTGGGGGAGGGGAATGGTCTGGGTACATGAGTGGAGGGAAGTTGACACTGGGGGAGGGACTATGGATAGCTTGTAAATCACGGTGCCTTGATCAAAAGATAAGGGCATTTGCCTTGCATGCCGCCAACCCGGGTTCAATTCCCAGCATCCCATACGGTCCCCTGAGCACCGCCAGGATTAATTTCTGAGTGCAGAGCCAGGAGTAACCCCTGAATATCACCGAGTGTGACCAAAAAAAAAAGTCGTCCCCCCCCCAAAATAAATAAATAAATTAAAATGCCATGGAATTTTTTTTAAATAAAATAAATGGGGCCAGAAAGATGATGCAGCAGCACTAACTCACTCACAGCTGGCCCAGGTTCCATCCCCAGCACCCCATGGGGCCCCCAAGCACCACCGGAGTGATCCCTGAGCACAGAGCCAGGAGTCAGCCCTGAGCATAGTCAGGTGTGGCCCAAAACCTAACCCCAAAGAAAGAAATGAGCAACGCGCGGACGGGACGCACACAGGCTTCCGCCTGGGAGTCGCCCTTCCCCTCCCCCGCCCGGGCCGGGTCCGCTTCTTGACTGACACGTGTGTGTTGTCCCAAGGACCTGAGGGAGCCCACGTGGCGGCAGTGGCGGGAATTCCTCGTCAAGTACTCCTTCCTCCCATACCAGCTCATCGCCGAGTTCGCCTGGGACTGGCTGGAGGTCCACTACTGGACATCCCGGTTCCTCATCGTCAACGCCATGCTGCTCTCTGTTCTTGAATTATTCTCCTTCTGGAGGATCTGGTCAAGGAGTGAGCTGAAGTAAGTGTGTCTCTCATTTGGGGCTGTCACAGGGCTTTGGTAAGAAAGAGCTGCCCCGCACTCTCACACACACACACACACAGGCTTTGGTAAGAAAGACCTGCCCCACCCTCCTGACACGCACGCACGCACGCACACACACACACACACACTGGGAAGTCCCTTCTGGTTTTGTTTGCTTGAGGGGGGCGGTTATTTATTTATTCTGAGGGAGTAGAGTGGCTTAGGCCATACCCAGAAGTGCTCCAGAGGCTCCTTTCTGGAAAGCTGCAGTATGGGGACTCATGAGGACATCTAGGGAGGACCGCTGCAGAATGGGGAGCACAGCTGCAGGGCAAGGACTGCTGTAGGCGTGAATTCTAATCCCACTCAGCCCCCGATTGGGACAGTAGCAACTTTCCTGATCCATGCCTGAAACTCGAGTGTTGGGTGAGGGGCTGGAGTAGGATAGTACAGAGCCGGAGAGGGCGTTTGCCTTGCAAGCAGCCAGCCCAGACTCATTCCCCGGCACCCCATATGGTTGCCCCAAGCTTCAGCAGGAGTGATCCCTGAGTGCAGTCAGGAGTAAGCCAAAGCGCCACCGGGTGTGGCCCCAAAAACAGGACAGACAAATACCCACAGAAGTGTTGGATGAGCTAGTTTGGACTCCCTCCCCATTGTACCCTAAATCGGCTTTACTGACAAGAGCACCCGTGAAGACGGGACGCAGAGGCCTGGATATGGGCTCTGGGATTCTCAGAATCCCTATGGGCAGCATCTGGAATTGTTCTGAGACCTGGGCAAGGGTTTCCCTGACCCACTTTGCAATCCCAGGAACTCCTCTCTTCCTGCACCTCGGGGCTCTTGCTCCGTCGCAGGTCTGTTCTTCAAGAAGACACAAGCAGCCTCGCAGATGAGGTCTGCATGTTGGACGTACAGCGGAGGGCCTAAGAGAGGGCATGAGTGGGCCTGGCCCACAGGGCCCCTTAAGTATCACCACTGGCTCACACTGGGCGCAGGAGTGGCTCTTCCAGCAGTGACTTGGGGTTTCCACGTGGTAGTGGGGATCAGATCAGGGTCAGCCACCTGCAAGACAAGTGACTTGACCCCTGTACTGACTGTCCAGCCTGAAATACTTTTTTGGGGGGAGTCACACCCGGCGATGCACAGGGGTTCCTCCTGGCTCATGCACTCAGGAATTACTGCTGGCGGTGCTTGGGGGACTATATGGGATGCTGGGAATCGAACCTAGGTCGACCGCATGCAAGGCAAACGCCCTACCTGCTGTGCCATCGCTGCAGCTCCCAGCCTGAAAGGCTTTAAAAATGCATACTAGAGTGACCCGTGCATAGGAGTCAGATGTGTGCGTACAAGTGACGTGTATGCAAGTGTGATGTATACATACAAGAGTGATGCCTGCACAGGAGTGATGTATGCATAGTGGTGCGTGCATATGAAAGTGCTGCATGCACGCAAGAGTGATGTGGTGAAGCAGATTGGTGGGTACCTGCCTCCCCGGCCAGAGAGGAGCCAGTGGGCAGGGTGAGCTGGTCAGGCCAGGGTGAGTGCCAGGATTGGGAGGGCAGGGTGGCCGAGTGGTGCAGTGGGTAGAGCCCTAGGGCCGTACCCTGCTCCTTCCTCCCACCACTTCTCTCCTCTCCTCAGGACTGTGCCCCAGCGGATGTGGAGCCATTTCTGGAAAGTGTCAACACAGGGCCTTTTCGTGGCCATGTTCTGGCCCCTCATTCCTCAGTTTGTTTGCAACTGCTTATTTTACTGGGCCCTGTACTTCAACCCGATCATTAACATTGATCTCGTGGTCAAGGAGGTCCGACGACTCGAGACCCAGGTGTTGTGACAGGCCCCGGCCTTATCCCGAGGTCTAAGATGGGAGAGGACGGTGGGCGCCCTGAGTGGCGAGGGAGAAGCTGCCTCAGCCCACGGGGGCTTCGGGGCTGCACCCAAGAGCCAGGCCCAGCCACCTGCAGCCTCTCCACTACACCGCCTTCGCCCTCCGTGCCTGGGCCATGAGCACGAGGAGCCTTTGGGGACACAGCAGGGCCAACAGCTGAAGGTGGCAATCACGTTGGCCGCCCTCCTGTCACCTCAATGATCTACACAAGCCCCTGAGCAAACCCCAGCTGAGATGGAGCCCGGGACCAGGCCTGCCCCCAGCCAAGGTCAAGTCTTTGTCGGAGGCGCATCCAGAAAGCACTTGGGAAGTCCAAAATTCTCACAGGGGCGCAGCCAGGAGGGTTCCTCCTGGCCAGGCCAGGAGCATCATGAGGGCCCCCCTGAATGCTGCTGAACCTCCTCGTCACCGTTTGCTACATTGGGGACGCCGTCTCGGGCAGGGGGTTGCCAGGAGGCAGCCAGGTGGATCATGATGTACATCGAACCCATCTGCCTCAGCGCTGCTTTGGTGTGTTTTCTGGGCATGGTGTGGGGTGTGGTAAGTGTTTTGTTTTTAATCCATAAACTAAATTACAGGGGAGTCCTTCTGTCAGAGGAAACGTGTTGTACATTGACGTCATGCTGTATCATCCTTAACAGTCCTGTGGCGAAGTCACACAGCAGCATCTGAGGACACCCAGACCTGCGTTTGTCCATGGGAAGGAGTCGGACTCTGGATTTCCCGTGTGGAAAGAGCAGGCGGGGAAACTGAGCTCCCTGGGGGCGGGGCGGGGGGTTGGGGCCACCCCAGGATAGAGCTCACAGCCAAAGGTTTTTTGGTGACTCCCAAGAAACTTTTTTTTTTTCTTTTTGGGTCACACCTGGCGATGCACAAGAGTTACTCCTGGCTCTGCACTAGGGAGTTACCCCTGGCAGTGCTCGGGGGACCATATGGGATGCTGGGAATCAAACCCGGGTTGGCCACATGCAAGGCAAACCCTTACCCGCTGTGCTATCGCTCCAGCCCCTCGCAAGGAACTTTTCATGAATCCTTTATATCTTTGAAGATTTCACTTAAACTTAGCACCTAAAAGTTTGAAGAAATTACTTGAAAAAATAAAGATTTTTTTTTTAATATATATATACAGTTGGAGCTTCTATAGTGAGACAATCTCATTGTTTAGAGTACGTAAAAAAAAATTATGTTGTAGCATCTACTATCGACGTTTAAGTTGGAGCCTGGAAATGAAGGCGGGGCTGGGCAGAGGCTGGCCCCGGGTGAGTATGCCACGTCTGCTCTGAGCAAACAGGTGGGGCAGGACTCCGGGTCCTTATCTGCAGCCTTATCTCCCTCGGTCACAGACTCCCAGGGGTGCCTTTTAAAAGTGACCAGAACTGGGCTGGAGTGATAGTACAGGGGGTAGGGCGTTTGCCTGGCATGCATGCAGCCACCTGGGTTCGATCCCTGGCATCCCATACGATACCCCAAGCACCGTCAGGAGTTCAGAGCCAAGAATAGCCCCTGAGCATTGCTGGGTGTCATCCCCTCAAAAAAAATTAAAAGGAAGAAAAGAAAGTAACCAGAACTTCAGGGGTCCAGAGATGAGTCCAGGGGCTGGAGCGCAGGCTTTGCAGGCTGGAAGCCTGGGTTCCAGCCCACACCACGTGGTCACCCAGGCGCCGCGAGGGGCGAACCTCAGCACAGACTCCAGAACAGTCCTGGGCGCTGCTGAGTGGCCACAGACAGCCGGCCAGCTTCCATCCCCGCCCTGCGCACCACCAGGCCTGATCCCTGAGCACAGAGCCGGGAGTAAGCCCCGAGCATAGTCGGGGTGGCCCTCAAGCTAAAATCACAGCGGGGGGGGGGGGGGGGGTAGCGCCGTGGGCTGAGCCGAGGTCGATTCGATCCGGGGCACTGCATGTTTCCTCAGCACGATCCTGACGTGGCCCCGAATCAGAGACGGGGCAGTCGCCACGGAGACCTGCCCACAGACACTCCTTCCAGCCAGAGTCAAAACTGGGAAATGCTCCAGTGGCCAAAAGTCGGATGTTTTTTGTGTGGGGGCCACACCCAGGCCACAGTGCTCAGTGCTTACTCCTGGCTCTGTGCTCAGGGATCACTCCTGGCAGGCTATGGGGACCGTACGGGATGCCAGGTTGGCTGCATACAAGGCAAACATCCCACCTGCTGTTGCTCCAGCCGGCCCCCAAACTAGATTTATAAAACGCCATCTAAGACGATGAAATTCCCTAGGATTTTTTTTTAATGGTATGTAGAAAAACCACAAACACTACAGTGTTTCAGCAGAAGGCCCGTTGACAGCTCACTCATAGGGGGAGTGGGGTCTCTTGATTAACTAGGTAGCAGTGGTGCTTTTTTCTTCCTCTGTTTTTCTTGGCTTCTTTTGTTTTGAGACACACCTGGCAATGCTCAGGGCTCACACCTGACTATGCACTCACTACTGGGGATATTCAAAGGACCAAATGGGATGCCGGGGATTGAACCTGGCCGGGCACGTGCAAAGTTAGCATCCTCCCCACTATACTATCACTTCATCCCCTTTTGGCTCTTTATTTAGGTAATATGTCCGCATTACTTTTGGACTCGGGGAAAGTGTAAACCGCTAAATGGGTCGGCAGGGTTTGGATACGCATGTGAACTCATAGTAGATTTCAGCCTCAGAGCATGGGTGATGTGTGGCAGGTGTGTTTAGTGCATCAGCCTAAAACAAAGCCACATGCACAGTAGATGTTCATATCCCACCAGCTTGACAACTGATAGAGCCTTCTCCATATGGTCTCCCAGAGTATCCTGAGTCTTACAGGTGAAAGTGGCATCATCAGATGGGTGGGGTGCATAACAGCACTAGACTGGGGGTCCTACCACAGTCAGAAGTGGAGAAATACTGGGTTAAAGGCCAAAACTTGAGCTCTCTACATGAAAACTGAACCTCAAAAGTGGTACCCGGCCCCAGAGTCATCAATGCCATTGTGATTGGGTAAAACAGGCCTGCAGGGGGGACTTTTGACCTGAATCAACCAGGAAACCAGACAGGAGCCAGCTGAGTTCCCGGACAGCCACGAACGCAAACACCAGGCTGGCAGCTTTGAGATGTAGCTTCAGTTCCTCCAGCAAATAGGGCTGAATGCTGCGGGTGAGTTGCCAAAAAGGGAGTTTAATTTCTGGGTGCAAAGTACATGGAAGGTGAGTCTTGTCAGGGACACTGGGGCGACTGGTCCCCACATGAGGACTGGAGGTAGAAGAGGTACTTCATGTCATACACAGCTTGGGCTAAGCAGTGAGCAAAGTCCTGGTCACACTTGCACAAGAGCTCTTGGCATTTGTTCTCTGAGGGTCCTGGAAGAAAAGGGGAGACTGCGGTCAGAGGAGGCACTGCGGGGGGGGGGGGGGGGGGGGGAAGCCTGGAGCCTGCAGAGCTCGAGGCTGGGAGGACGGAGGTTGCATTGGTGGCTGGCCGCTCTTTTCTTAGTTTTTTGGCTTTTTGGGTCACAACCAGCGATGCTCAGGGATTATTCGACTCTGTACTTGGGTATTACTCCTGGCGGTGTCAGGGGGACCATATGGGATGTTGGGGATCGAACCCAGGTCAGCCATGTGCAAGGCAAATGCCCTCCCTGCTGTACTATCACTCTGGCCCAGCGATAGTACAGCGGGTAGAGCGTTTGCCTTGGACGTGGCTGGATCAGGTCCAGTCCCTGGCATCCCATAGGGTGCCCCCAGCACCACCAGGAGTAATTCCTGAGTGCAGAGCCAAGAGTAACCCCGACCATCGCTGGGTGTGACCCAAAATGCAAAATAAAATAATATAACTCCGACCCCATGGCTGGTCACTCTTGCTGCCGTCCCCATGGTCAGGCCATGCCCAGGAGGGAGGGGTGTTGGAAGGAATTGCAGTTGCCAGAGGAAGAGTTTCTCGTGCAGGGAACCGATGTCTCCGTAACCTCCTGGCTTCTCTTTAGACTATTTCTGTTGTGTCGCTGGCTTTTGGGCCACACCCAGAGGTGCTCCTGGGACATTTCTCAGGGGATAGAACCTGGGCCTCCTGCATGCAAACCTGCTCTTAAGCCGTGGAGCCCTCTCCTCAGCCCAAATCAGGTGACTAGAGTCTGTTCAGACAGGACGATGGGTTCTTGGGAACCATCAAACCACAGGGGCGTTGTGGGGGCGAGGGGTGGGGTGCCTGCTTCACCCTGCTTCCTAGCCATGTGACCTAGTCTGTACTCGCTCAAGGAACCCATTCCCCATTTTTCACTTGGCCATAAGGGGGTTGAGGCTCTGCACTCAGGGATCACAACTGGCAGTGCTCAGGGGCCCTAAGGGATGCCGGGAATCAAACCCAGCTTGGCCACAAAAAAGGCAAATGCCCTCCCTGCTGTACTATCGCTCCAATGCCACTCTGGTCCTTCCCATCCCCATTACTCATTTCTCTGTCGATGCTCAGTAATATTTGCTGGGAGAAAATAGGAAAGCCATGCATTGTTTCTGAAGATCTGCTTAAACCCAGCACCTGCTTTTGTTTGTTTGTTTGTTTTTCCCACTTGGCAGATGAGGAACATGACGCTCCAGGAAAGCCAGAGCTTGTCCAAGATCCCAGAGCAGGGAAGGGGGAGGGGGTGTCTGCCTTATCGGCCTTCCTGGTCTTCTACTCCTGAATGAAGCAAGAAAGCTTCATTCTGCACAAGACCAACGCTCTCTCCCGTCACAGCTAATGAAATTGGCAGTGTCGGGTGAGCCGAGATTAATAAAGACATAAGAAAGGAAAAACATCGGGCTGGAGCAATAGTACAGCGGGGAGGGCATCTGCCTTATTTGTGGCCAAGCGGGGTTTGATCCCCAACATCCCTTAGGGTGCAGAGCCAGGAGTAACCCCTGAGCATCACCAGTTGTGACCCAAAAAGAAAAAAAAGTAAATGCAGCTCCCATGGGGCTAAGTCGAGGCCTGCCAGCAAATATTATCATGGACTTAAAACTTTTCTTTTTAATATACTTAAGTCGGACCATAAACGAGAAATGTGTCATACCTGTAATTTAAGTCAGGTGAGAATATGCAAACAGAATGAAATGCCAGAAATACATGGCATGTATTTTGGGGCTTTCTTGGTTGGCTGGTTTTCTTTTTTAAGTTTTTTGGTCACACCCAGCAGTGCTCAGAGGATAGTCTGGCCCCAGGCTAAGGGCTCCGTCTGAACCTCACCCTTCCATGGAGCAATCTCTTTGGTCACATCAAATACTTTAGGTCAGAGCCATGTTACAGCGAGTTGGGCGAGTAGGGCGCATGCCTTGCACACAGCCGACCTAGGTCCCTCGAGCACCACCAGGAGCGATTCCTGAGCAGAGTCAGGAGTCAGCCTCGAGCATCGCTAGATGTGGCCCCCAATAAAAAGAATCTCGGTAGCGAAAGAAAAGCAACTGGACCAGGACAGGACAGGCTGGAGAGAGAGCAGAGGGCTCCATCCCCAGCCTCCCTTCTGTGCTCCCCTGGGCCCTTCAGGAGTGAGCCCTGAGCACTCCCCCGCAAATAAAGAACTAGACAAGGTAGCAGCTTTCAGCGTTGCCCGCCCCCTGGGGACTTCCACTGGGACACCGGACACCAGGAGCTGCGTCTCTGGGCATGGAGCCGCAACTCACCGCACTGCACTGTCTCGTTGATGCATTGCCAGGGGTAGCGGCTCAGCTTCGGGCTGCACTGGGCCTCCTCCGCCCGCGTGTAGCAGCAGTCGTGGCGCTGGCAGCACCTGCGGGGGTGCAGGGAGGGTCGGCGGCGGGGTCACTGCCCGCAGAGCCCCTGTGGGGCAGGGGGACGCACCATCTCCAGGGGTTTCTTTGGTTGGGGGCCACACCCGGCACTGCTCAGGACTGACTTCTGGCTCTGCACTCAGGGACTCCTCCTGGACCTCTCCTGGTGGGCTTGGGGAACCCAAGGGGATGCCAGATGGAATCCGGGTGGGCCATGTGCAAGGCAAGGGTCCTCCCCACTGTGCTATCGCTCCTGCCCCAATATCTTCCAGTTTGGACGCGTCCCACCTCCCAATCCCACCGAATTCCCCCTCCTGTGAGATGAGGGCCACCCCCTGCTGGCACCCCCAGCCCAGTTCTGGTCCCTGCTGAAGCTGCCTCTCACCCGGGAGAAGTTCAGACCTTCCTCAACCCCTCAGCCATCAGCCCAGGGTTGTCCTGTCCCAGACCGACACAGGTGCCCATCACACCCCCTAAGAAACAGGCTCCCTCCTCTCGTTGGAGAGAAGATGGGTTAAACCTATGTCTTGAAACTCTGAGGTTCAAAGCCCACCCGACCCCCACCAGCAGCCCCTATGCTCCTTAGAGTCCCCCCTGCACATGTCCCCGGGCACAGTGATACAGCCCAAAACCCCAAAATTAAATAAGTCTGATCTACCTTTTTTCTTTGGAAGGGATATATGGACTATACCTTAGCAGGATTCAGAAGCTACTCCGGACTCAGTGCTCCCAGGACTCCTAGCATTGTTAGGAACTGAACTAGGGTCGGCTACATGCAAGGCAAATGCCTTACCCAGGCACCAGCTCTCCTGTCCTCACAGAGGTTACTCCTGGCTCTGCACTCAGGAATCACTCCTGGCGGTGCTCAGGGGACCATATGGGATGCTGGGAATCGAACCCAGGTCAGCCACACGCAAGGCAAACGTCCCGCCTCCTGTGCTATCACTCCAGGCCCCTTTGTTTTTTGAGCCATGACCAAACCGGGGGTTTGGGCGCAGCTGGCACTAAGTTTTACCTCTTGGGTCGTGTGCCCCAGGAGGTCCATGGCCTGCCAGCCTAGACCCAGGCCTGCACTCACCAGTCAGTCTCATCCTGCGGCTGGCCCTGGCCACCCAGGCCACAGTAGCAGCCATAGTTCACGTAGGCCAAGGGGCTCTGGATGCCAACACAGCCCATGGTCTTCGCGAGTTCTATGAGTCCTCGCCGGTGGACGTGGGACCTGGGGGCTGAGGGCGGACAGAGGTTAGAGGCTGTGAGTCGGAGGCACTTGGCCGACGGAAGGTCTGGAAGGGCCCTGGACAAAAACTTGGGCTTCATTATTAATGTCTGTTTGGGGGGCCCAGCGGGTCTTTTGGGGTGTTCAGGGGTCTTTGTGCTGCTGGAAATCAAACCCGGGCCTTCCACACACAAAGCATGCACTTCAGGGGGGCTGGGAAGATAGAACAGAAAGGAAGTCTCTGGGTTGCATGCAACCAACCCAATTCCATCCCTGCCTCCTGTACATGGTTCCTCCGAGCTCTGCCAGGGGTGGTCCTAAGCACAGAGACAGGGTAAGCCCTGAGTACCAACAGGTGTGGGCCCCACACCAAATACATACATACATATATATGGATATGTATATATATATGCATATATATACACACACACACACACACATCCATATATATGTCACTGTCCTCCCTAGGTGATTGAGGATTTGCAGAATTTACATCTGAACCTCCCGTGGCCCGCTCCTCCCGCCCAAACTGTGGACTTTTGTGAGTCCCCCGAGCAGGGGCCGGCTCTTGTCCGCCCGCCATGTGCACTCAGGGCCAATTCATTGTTCCTTGTCACAGGGAGCCACCATTGGCAACTGTAAATCATTCTTTAGGGGACCACCCTCTGCCCCAGGAATCCCCAACCTCCCACCCAGAGGGGCTTGCAGGAAACGTCCCGTGCCCTCCCAGCCCCCAGCTGCACTTTAGTCTGACATGAGAACCCAGGGAGGGACCTAGCTCGGTGGTAGGGTGGGGGCTTGCCTTGCTCCCAGCAGATCACACATGGGTGCTTTAAGAACCTGGCACGGCCTTGCCGACATCCCTGGCACCAGGCAGGCAGTGCCCAGCAGTGGGTTTAGAGGCAGCGAAGGTATTTCCTCTGTGGCACGAGGGTGGGGTCGGTCATCCCAGGGTTAGTCTGTCCAAGGTGGCGGGGCGCTGGCTTCATCCCGGGGCATCTGAACTCGGGTCTGTGTGTGAGCCTGCCACGGGCCCAATTCCTCAGCCAGACTGGGGTATTCTGTGCACCCCAGATACGCCAGTCCCAGAGAAGACCTTGCCAAGAGTGACCCAAAGGTGGTAAGATGACATGAGGGTCTTCCTAAGGCCTGGGTGGGGCTGGGCCCCCTTCACCCATGTGATCCTGGGGGGCCGGCAAGATCCATCTCAGACTCAGAGCCGGTTCCCTGGACCAGCCCGGGTCAGTTGTGGGTTTGGGGGCTGAGAGCTGGCGTGAGGGTGTGGGGGCGTCTGGGGGGCCTCCAGGGCCTGAGATTGGAACGGGGGAGGGTTCCGGGGAGCTGAGGAACAATGAGAGCAACAGAAGCCGGGGGTGGAAGGGTTCTGGGGTCCCCGGGGGTGCTGGGAAGTCGGAGTCTCCGCGAGGGTGAGGACAAGGGGCTTCAGGGACCCCAGAGAGGCCTGGGGGAGGGGGCCGGGGGCTCCCGGGCCTCCAGGGGCCCACCCAGCCCTCACTCACCCGCGAGGCACCAGCTCGGGGCCAGCAGCAGCGGCAGCAGCAGCAGCAGCCCGGGCGGCGGAGGCGGCATTCCTGGCCGGCACCTGGGCGGCGGTGGCGCGGAGGGCGGCAGGTGTGGCCCGGCCTGGCGGGTCGGCGGAGCCCCCTCCCTCGGCGCCCCGCCCCCGAGCCGCCGGCCTCACCCTCGGGCGGGTCGGGTGGAACCAGACGTGGGGGGAGGGGGCGGCCCCAGGGGGCCAAATTCCGCCGAGCCGCCCGCTGCCTGCACACGTGCCCGGTGAGATGGAACCGGTGGGCACCGGGCGGACGGCCAGAGGGCAGCGGCCCCTCCAACACGGACGCCGGGGCCTTTCTAAAGTGGGGGCGGCAGCAGCCCACCTTGCATGCAGGCACTCGCCCCGCGTAGGGGCGCCCAGCAGCGTGTATGCGCATTTCCCCTGAGCACAAGGCCAGGAACACCCCCTGAACGCCCAAGACTTCAGATGGGGGCACTTGGGGCTCCTGGTGGCCCTGCAGACCAACCTCTGCATGAGTTGGCCACGGCCCCTGTCCTGGTAGGGGTCCAGCGAAGGTCAGGCTGGACGAGCTCCCCCAGAAGGGTGCCCCCCGACCTGTGGGTTTAGTCTTGGGGCCGCACCCGTTGGTGCTCAGGGCTTGCTCGCTCCTGGCTCTGAGCTCAGGGATCACTCCACACAGGCTGGCGAGGCTGTATGGGGTGCTGGGGATCCAACATGGTCACCACCTGCAGGGCAAGTGTCTCCCGTTGTACTTGGGCCCTTGTGGGTTTTTTTCTGAGTGGAGGTCCATGGGGGCCGGGAGACACCCCCACCCCACCGCTAGAGCTAGGAGGAAGGAATGGCAGCCACGTTTGCCCTAGAACATCACTGTCCATCAACAAGCCTGTCCCAAGAGGAACGTCCAAAGCCCATAACTGAGCAGCTGTTCTTGGTCATGTGACTCACCCCTCCTCCCTGCCTGAACCCCCAGGTTTTCTCTCAGCCTGCTCGCTTTGGAGTCCAGGTGTCAAGGCAAACCCTCTAAACGAAAGTAATTACATTTGGAGTTTTTTGTACTCACTGGTTTAAAATTTTGACCTTTTAAAAAGTTCTCATTGAGGGGTTGGAGCATTAGTACAGTTGGGTGCCTTGCACATGAGGACCTGGGTTCGATCCCTGGCATTCCATATGGTCCCTCCCATATCCCCCCACCCACCCAACACCACCAGAGGTGATTCTGAGTGCGGAGCCAGGAGTAACCACTGAGCACTACTGGGTGTGGCCACAAAAGAAAAAGTTCTTATTTATTAGAGGAAAGGGAGGTATTGGTCTGGCCACACCCCACAGTGCACAAGGACTATGGCTCTGGGCTCAGAAGTGACCCCTGGTGGTACTCAGGGGACCTTATGAGGCCCAGCGGATTCGAACCAGAGTTGCAACTGACATGGCTGCCTGGAGGCAAATGCTTTCTCTCCTGTCCTCTCTCTCCAGCCCAGTCTGATGGTAATTTGATTCATGGACCACTAGGAGAACCCCAGGGTCCCCACTCTTCCTTGACAGTTTCGGGACCAGGAAGGGATGAATTTATTGGTTTGATGCTACTTAAATCCTGGAAGAAAAAGAGAGACATAGACAGAAACAGAGAGACAGGGAGACAAAGAGAGATGGAGAGACGGGGAGAAAGAGACGGGGAGACGGGGTGGGGGGAGAGAGAGAGAGAGAGAGAGAGAGATGAAGGGAGAGACGGGGAGACAGAGATGGAGAGACAGGGAGAGAGAGATGGAGAGACAGGGAGACAAAGAGACAGAGAGCAAGATGGAGAGACAGAGAGAGTGAGATCCTGGAACTTCTAACAATTGGGTGAAGGTTCCACGCGGTGCAGCTACTGAATGGTGGAGTGTGGTAAGACCCTCTTTTGTCTCCTAAAATCAAGCTTAGCGGCCAGAGAGCTGGCACAGGGCTTAAGGTACTTGCCTTGAATCCCGCTGACCCCAACTTGATTTGATCCCCACACCACATATGGTCCCCTAAAATGGCCAGGGGTCACTCCTGAGCACAGAACCAGGAGTAGCTTCAGAACACCGCAAAGGCTATTCAGGGTCCTCCCCCCTCGCCCCCCAAAGAGTCTTGCTTCTGAACTATTTAGAGGACGTATTCCTATTCTGTAACCCAAACACACCCAACCCACCCAGGCCCCTGCACATACAATTCAATTCAAAAATCAAACTTAGGGAAACTGAGAGATAGCTCACAGGTAGAGCATACTGCTTGGCCTGTGTGAGGTCCTGGGTTCCCCAGAAATACTGGGTGTGACCCTGCAGCCCTGACAACCCAAGCATAGCGTGGAGCACTAAAGCACAGGCCAGCTTTGCCAGGCCTGCCTCAAGTCGCCCCCCTGGAGTGATTATTCGGAGTCAATTAACTCCTAAGTGTTAAAGCATGGCATTAGCTGTCTTCCTGTGTCTATACAAAAGGACACTGCTCTGAATTAACTATGCAAAGGACATAAGGAGAAGAGAAAAGCAATATTTAATAAGTTTACAAAGTCTGATTAGGAGATAAAGGTGAGTGACTTGGTTGGGGACGCAGAGCACAAAGAAAGAGGTTACAGATAAACAGAGGAATGGGAGTGCCTTGGGAGCACTGTGATGGGTGTAACCCAATAAACCTAAGCTCCCTGTGGCAAGGCAGAAAGGACCAACCAATGTTATCTGAAACCCAAAGGGTATTTTTTCTTCTCCCAGTTTTCAGGTCAGACCTGCAGTGTTCAGGGGCTACTCCTGTCTCTATGTTCAGGAATCACCCTGCATGCCCACATGAGCATGCAGTTGAAGCAGGCTTGGTACCATGCAAGCTCCTAAGCCTGGATTCTCTCTGGTCTTTGTATATCTTGTTGTTGGTTTTCAGTTTGGGGGACACACCTGGAGGTGCTCAGGGGCTACGCCTGGCTCTGTGCTCAGGTTTGCTACTGTCATTGCTTGGGGGACCATATTTGGTGCAAAGGATTTAACCTGGGTTTGACACGTGCAAGGCAAGCCTATTAACTCATGTACCATCTCTCAAGTATTTTAAGAATTTTTTTGTGTGTTTGATTTTGTTTGGGGGCCATGCCCAGCAATGCTCAGGAGTAACCCCTGGCTCTGCAAGCAGGAATTACTCCTGGAGGTGCTCGATGGGCCATGTGGGATGCCAGGGATGGGGACCATGTGGGATGCCGGGGATGGAACTCAGGTCGTTGTCCCCACTCCAGACCCTACTTTCCCACAAAGCTCTCCAGAGAGGGTGGCAGGGAATTAACCAGACAGACTTAAACTGTGCAATGTGGCTCAGTTTCTCTACAAAATTTATTATTGTTTACTAAAGAAGCAAACATTTTTATTTGGTTTTATTACCAAAATAGGAATACTTCCCCTAAATAACTCCTTTAAAAAGCACAGAACTTCTCTTTTTTTTTTTTAATTTTGGGCCATGTATCAAGTATCAAGCTGGAGGTGCTCTGGCTTGAGACTCAGGGATCCCTTCTAGCAGTGCTTGGGGGACCACGGGGGATGTCAGGACTCAAACCCTGGTGGGCTGCATGGAAGGTGAGAGCCCAACCTGCTGTACTATCACTCAGTCCCACATGTCTTTTGTTGGAGGGGAGGGGAGGAAGGTGTCACTTAAGGGTTACTCATGGCTCTGTGCTCAGGGGTTACTACTGCTCTGTGCTCAGGAGTCACTCCTGGCAGGCTCAGGGAACCTGTGTGGTGATGGGGATTAAACCCTGGCCTGTCACATTCAAGGCAGCACCTTACCCACTGTACTATCTCCCCAGCCCAGAACTCAGGTCTTTAAACTGTTACTCATCTGTCAAGCACTCATGTCATGAACCTTTTGGTAATTTCATGACATGGTCATTTACGTGAATGGAATATTACTCTTTTTCCTTTCAACTTAGTAATCTTTTTTCAAATGTTCATTGTGAAATGACTTTTATTCAAAGAAAGCATTTATGAGGGTAAGCGGGAAACTGGGACTATTGGTGGTGGGGAAAGTGTACTGGTGAAGGGAAGGGTGTCAGAACAGTGTTCGGCTGAAGTCCAATCATGAACAACTTCTGAATGTGTGTATCACTGTGATTCAATTAGAACAGTAAGTAAATGGGAAAAATAAAGCATATATGGGGATAAGGAGCTGGTACAGTGGATGAGCTGCCTGCCTTCTATGTGACTGTCCTGGGTTTGATCCCCAGCTCCACATACGGTTTCCCAGGCACAAACTGGAGGAAGCTGTGAGCACCACTAGGCATGGCCCCAAGCAAGCAAACAAAATAACAATTTTAATAGAATCAAAGTAGTGAAGGAAAAAATGTGTATTATAATGGTTCAGTGCCTCTCAAACTTCAGGGTGCATTAAAATGTTTGATGACGATGATTCGCAGTGCGAGGGATCAAGCCCAAGGTGTGACATGCTTGAGCACCATCTACCGTTGAGGCACAGCTCTGCTCCCTTAAGATGTTTACTCAGAGAAATAGGGGGACTGGGAAGATAACACAGCAGGTAGGGTGCTTGCCTTGCATGTGGTGTACCCAAGTTCGATCCCCGGCACCCCATATGGTCCCTCAAGACCAGCCAGGAGTGATCCCTGAGGTCAGAGGCAGGAGCAAGCGCTGAGCACCACAGGTGTGGCCCCCAAACAAGAGCCAGAAAAATGGGGACGGGAGGGGATCAGCTACGGACAATAGTGCCTGGTGGAACTCGGGTTTGCAAAGATGAGCAGCACGCGATGGAGCAAGAGACAAGTGGAGAGACAGGACAGTGTGGAGGGTGTTTGCCTTGCCCAGGGATGACCTGAGTTCGGTCCCACATTCCTCCCATCCCTGGGATGCCAGTAAGCCCCGAACACCACCAGAGAGGGGGTGGGGGTTGGACACACTGAGTAGGCCCAAGAAACAGCCCAGTTTGCCCCCTCGCCCTTCCTTCAGCCAACCAAGACGGCTTCTCAGTGGGCTTGAGAAGGGGGTGTCCCCTACTAAATGCACCCGCGTGTTTCACCTTCCAGCTGGCGCTCAGGCACCCCCGGTGCTCCACAGGC